ACGTGGGGAAACTGAGGCGGGGGAGGGGGCGGGGCTGCAGTCCCTGATCAGAGCCGCTTTCCTGACTTCGAGGAATAAGGAAGGAGTGTCTGTGGCTCGTCTGGGGGAGCTGAGGAAAGGCTGGGGGTGAGCGTGGGTCGTGGGGTGGCCTTTTCCGGGGACTCGGAGACGAGGAGCGGAGAGGGAGGGGGGCCTGGCGGCGGTCAGGTGGCTGGGGGCCTTCGTGCGTCACCACGGCCACCCGGGCGTGAGCTCCCCCCGGGAGAGGCTGGGGCGGGAGGTGGGGGGCAGCCAAGCTGAGGAGATTCGAGGGGTCCGTCTCCACTTCCGACACCAGATGCAAATTCTGGGTCCCCAGAACCACCCCAGGTTCCATGATTCTCTGGGAGGCGCTCGCAGGACTCACTGACCCACAGGCAAGGCTCCAGCTCGACCCCCGCCGCGGGGGCCCTGGGGCTCCATCACGGGCGCCCACGGGCGCCCTCCATCTCCAGTCCCCTGACTCCGTGACCCCAGGCCCCGCCCTAACAACGGGGTGGGGGTCCTTCTGGCCTGGCTGGCCCATCACGGGTGACATGACCACCCCCCAGAGCCCTCTGGGCCAGGTTAGGTCCTCTGCCGGTCACTGGACATAAGGCACAGCCTCGCCCCGCAGGCCTCCCTGCCGTGCGATGGCCAGGCCAGCCCCCACCCCAGCCCCACCAACACAGGGCAGGACACAAGGTGCTGGAGAGGAAACTGAGTCACAGAGAAGGGCCTGACTTGGCAGAATTCAAACCCAGGCCGTGTGGCCCCGGCAGGAGGGCAGGGGTGCCCGGTGCCTCTCAGAGAGAGGAGGAGCCTGTGGGGCCGTGGGACCAGGGATGTGGGAAGGCAGTGAGGGTGAGGTCGAGGGCTTGGGGTCTGCCCAGCACTGGTTCGAATCACGTCCTGCCACCTGCCAGCTGGTGGCTCTGGGCAGGTCGCTCTACTTCCCCGTGCCTCAGTTTCCTTGCGTGTGGATGGGGTCAGCAGAGTCTTGGTGAGGATTCAGGGGTCGTCCCCCTCACCCAGGCTGGGCTCGATGAATGGACCCCGCACAGGATGTGCACATCTTACATGACCCCGGAGGGAAGTGCTGGTGACATCTCCATCGTAGTCGGGGTAAGCTGAGGCCCAGCAAGCCAGGACTGCAGCCTCTGCTGCAGACGCTGCCCCAGGCCCTGACCCAGCTGGGGAGGAAGGAGCAGGCGCTGCCTCCATGGCTCCTCTGTGTTAAACCCATTTTTCTCCTGTCAGACGCAGCCGTCCCCTCCCACCCGCGGAGCCTCGAGAGAAAAGCAAACCCTAATTGAACTCACACGGGTTGGGGGCTTGGTGGAGCCTGTAATTACCAGTCACTGTGCTGTGCCGCCCGGGACGCCCTGGTGCCACGCTGCTCTGAGTGGGACCCGGGACCCAATGAGCCGTGTGCCCAGCAGGGACGCACCACGGGCGCAAATTCCACAGGGGCGGCTCCCGCACATGTCGGGTGCACGTGTCCAGGCTGCAGACTGGGGCACAGGGGAGGTGGGGGAGGAGGCGTGTGGGCTGCAGTGTGAGGCTTCTGGGGTGTGGGGCTCACAGGCTGTGGGGCAATGGTGAGCCATGGAAGGTTTCAGAGAAGGGGCAGAGGTGAAGGTGGGGTGGACCGGGGTGGGTAGTGCGGCCCAGGCTGTGGTGGGATGGGCAGGAGGCCCATGTGGGCTGGGTCTCCGAGGCCCCCCTCTAGCTCTGGACGTCCCTGGGGCCCCCATCTCCTTCCCTGTCTTAGATTCTGCTCCTTCTGCACCGCCCTCCTGGATTAACCCCTGATGGAAGCTCACTCCCTCCCAGCAGGGCCACCTCTCCCGCTCCATGAGATGCACAAATCCCAGCCTCCAGGTGCTGCCTTCTTTTCCTGCTTCCTTTTCCCTTGTCAGACTGGGGCACCTCTAGTCAGCACTGCTCCTCCTTCCTCAGAAGGGTGGCTCATCATATTAGTATTTTCTGGAGGAAAAAAACTCAAACTGGCTTAAGCAAAGAAGGAACTTTATTGGCCCTTTGAACTAAAATGGTGCGTACTTATGGACTTCAGGCACAGCTGGATCCAGGTGCCTACAAGGTCGCCAGGCATCTGACTCCTCATCTCTTGGCTCTGCTGTTCCCTGTGCTGGCTCCACTCTGAGAAAGAGGCACTGTTTTGTGATTTGCACAAATCAGATGTCTCCTGCTAGTGGTGGCCCTGGATGCACACAGCCTCCCTGAGAGACAGAAGACTCGGGATGGTAGCTGGGCTGGAAGGAGAGAGTGCTGACCCCTCCTTTGTGTGCACCCTGGACTCAGTGCTAGGAAGCTGCAGGTGGAAGAGCAGATGGTTCTGATCAGATCGATATCACAAAGCAGTGTGTAATTCGAGGGAGGGATAGGAGACGGGGTCTGACCTCACGGCGGGGGGGGGGGAGCTGCCCTGAGGACGGGGCGGTGGGTGGAGACCTGAGGGCAGAGGGAGAGAACATGGGGGGGCTCTCACCAAAGAGCCAGCATGGAGAGCGGAGGGAGGGGCCTTCTCCAGCCACTAGTTCTGGGATGTCCTCTCCACATCCCAGGGCACAGAGCAGCCACAGCACACACACGGGCACACACGTGCGTGCAGTCACACGTTACATAGCGACACTCACGCACACACTACATGCACAGAGAGAAACACACATGCCTAGCCTGTGCAGACATGCTAACCTGCTAACACGGCTACACTCGTGTGCATACGTGCACTTGTGTTTAGGCCCACTCTGTGGCATGTGTGCACAAACACACGAGGACACTCACATGCATGTGTCTACACCAACGTGCCCACACATGTGCACATGGCACACACCTGCAGAGGCACGCAATTGTGTGCATACACGCAGACATGGTACGCACACGCACACACAGACACACAGGCTGCCCAGCGACGAGGCTGGTGGGGAAGAGGAGGCCCTGGTTGCCCTGGCAACGCATCCTGGGACCCGCAGCCTCGTCAGCTGCTGCTCTGGCGGCCATGGCGGATGGAGGGCTGCTCAGGACCCCAACCCCGCAGAGGCTCCTGGCAGCCCTGACAGTCTGGGCCCCGTGGGGACAAGTGAGAGAAGGAGCCGGGCTGGGGTCGGAGCAGGAGTGGGGCCCCGATCAGGGGACCCGTGGGGAGAGACCACCCGCCCTGGGCCGTGTGAGGGGGACGCAAGGAGGCCCTACTTGGGGGGACAAGGCGCTCACGGCCCGCCCGAGAACCCCAGAGGAGCCCGGCTCTGAGCCAGAGTCAAGGGGACCCAGTCGGCTGTGGCCGCACCCCCGTCCTGTGGCGCACGGGCTCCAGGCCGGCCCCTCGCTGGACCCCCTGCACCCTGGTCTCCTGGGCCGGGAAGCGGATGCACACGCAGGGGGCCAGGAGGGAAGAACCAGCGGGTAACTGCAGACACAGCGGGGGCAGCGGTGCACGCAGTAGGACCACGTCCCGACCCTCTGTCCTGGCTCCTGCTTCCTCCACCCGTGACGGGGGCTTCCTGGCGGGGCTTCCCTGAGGCTCACCGAGGCAGCCTGTCTCCAGCACACAGCAGGAGTTTAATCAATGCCCATTGCCAGGGGGACTGGATGCCCAGATGTGTTTGTCCTCCCAGAAGTGCGCCCAGCCCGGCAGGGCCACCCAGCCCACCAGTTCTGTCACGGCCAGTGTTGGCTGTGCCAGGCCAGGGGGCACGTCGGGGGGCCCCCCTGAAGGTCGCCTGGACGACTCCGCATCTTCCAGGATGTGGCTTGGACGCCTCTCTTCCCACCGGGCTCCCTGACGGGACGAAATGATTCTGCGCTTGTTTCCCAAAGCTCCTGGCGCCCATCTCGGAGCCTCGGGGTGGCCACTGCCTGGGGAACGGCTGTCTTCCCGGCTTTGCCGCGTCCGCCTCTCACCCCCGGAGCTGGCGCCCAGCAAGGGCCACATCCTTGCTGACTGAGTCAGCAAAGGCGGCTGATCTAATTCCAGTCTCTGGGCCTCGGTTTCCCCACTTCTCAGGTGGAACCAGGCCTGGAGTTAGTGGGGCTCACGTTGGCTCGAGCTCCCATGGGCCGAGACGTCCTGTGCCACCCAGACCTGCTCCCGTGCTCATGATGCCCCAGCTTTCCGTGATGGGGGCCCTGTCGTCCCAGACCCCCAGCTCGCAGACCCCACTTCCCATCACGCTTCCCCCACATCAGCCTTCCACTGAGCAGGAAGCAGGAGGGGGAGGGCAGGGGAACCCCCAGCCCCCACAGCCAGCGCCCAGGTCCCCAGCAGCCCTGCAGGAGCCCAGAGATGGGCTCAGGCCCTGGCCCTCCATTCATTCGCCCCCCGGGTCAAGTGCCTCCTGGGTGCCCAGAGCGGCTGGAGCTGGGGTCACCGTGGACCAAGGCAAACGCATCCCAGACCTGGTGCTGGAGATGGACACGACCCCAGAGGGCACGTGAACTTGGATGTGGGACACAGAGCAAGGCCCGGCCAAGGAGTGGGAAGGCTTCCTGGAGGTGGTGCCATCTCAGCTGAAGCCTGAAGGTGGAGCAGCTGGGGGTGGGGGGCGTTCCAGGCAGAGGGACCAGCCTGTGTGAAGGCGCAGATGGGACAGTCTGAAGTCCAGGCCACCCTGGTCCCAGGGTCTCCAAGTCGTGCGACAAGGGCAGGACGGAGGTCCCAACACCTGTTATCTGATTCCTGTCTGACCGGGTGGCCTGGGCAGACCAGAGAAGGACGAGGGGCAGGTGGGGGCATCCCCACCTGGCAGCTGACAGCGTCTGAGGGGGTCCCGGTCAGTGATGGCACCACACATCTGGTCTTTGTCCCCAAGTGGACAGAGCCCGAAGGGGCAGACCCTGGTGTCTACCCCTCTGGTGGCCACAAAGAGGGTGTGGGTTCAAGGCCAGGCTCCCGTCGGCCAGGCCGCCCTGGCAGGTGACTGAACCGCTGTCCCCATCCGAGGGACGGGACGTGAGTGGCCTCTGCCCTGCGGGTGTGACGCGGACGGAGGGTGAGGACAGGACCCCCACACGGACCAGGTGAACAACCTCAGCTGCGGTCACAGCACGGCCTGGGGTCCCCGGCAGCCCCCACAAGTGGGAGAGACCATGGCCGAGAGGGTCAAGGGGCTTCCCCGATTGCTCGATGGACCGAGGGCTGCCATCCTCGCTGGAATTCACAGCAGAATTCCTGTTGTTATTAAACAGCCGAGCGAGCAGCTCTCCACCCCCGCATCCTCAGAACACCTTTATTGCACTAAGAACAACATTTATAAACAGACACGCTTGGGGGAGGGCCTCTTCAAGGTTTACCTACAGTCAGGTCAGAACACAGATACCAGACAGCGCAGGGGCTGTGAAATGCGGGCCCGGGGAGAGCCGGGCAGGGATGGGGGGCCAGCTCCAGGCATCGGATGAACTCATGCAGGGCCCTGCGTCCGCCTCCACCCACGAGGCTGGCCCTGGGTGGTCCCCAGGCTGCAGAGTGAGGGGGGACGATGAGCAGGGACGGACCCCCAGGGCCCCCACGGACTGCCCTGGTCCCTCGGTGCTCAGCAGGCAGCCCGAGAGAGGCAAAGGGGCAGAGCCCGCCTGGTCCGTCTCGATGAGCTGGAAAACCGCCACGGAGACCGTTCCAGGACCCACACGAGACACAACAATTAGCAGCATGAAAAGCCACAACCAGGGTCCCCCAGCGGCTCCTGTGTCCCGCCCACCCTGACCGAGACCTATTTACACACGTGGAGTGAGAGCCACGGCTGCCGGTGACCGGGCCTCCCTCCCCAGCGGCCCCCAGCGCGGAGGGACGGGAGGAATGGGCCACGGGCTGGGGCTGCTCTCTGGGCCCCTTCTGAGCAACACCCCCCAGGGGAGGGGGCTCCCGACGCCCAGCAGGGCCCCAGGGCCCCCAGCAGGCGCGGGTGGACTGGCCAGGCGGGTCTGCACCTGAACAGCAAGCGGAGAAGGCGCAGGAGGAAAACGCCGAGGGGAGGTCATGCGGCTCCTGGGGACAAGAGAGGAGCTCGGGGACGTCCTCCATGGCTGCCTCCCGCCCCGCCCTCTTCCACCAGGAGCCTGGAGGACCGAGGGCTGCCCAGGCACAACCTAGCCAGAGGAGGTGCCCCCTGCAGCCCCCTGGGCGCCGTTGGCAGAACCAGGCCTGGCACTGCCCTCGGGGGCACCTGGCAGGCCTGGGGGCGGAGGACGCTCGTCCACAGAGGAGATTTGGATCGGCTCGGGCTGGCCACCTCCTAGGACAGGTCCCAGGACTCTGACAAGGTGAGGTGGCATCCGGGGGCCTGGGATTCGGGGCACGGGGGACGCTCGGCCCTGCAAAGTGGCCCCTTCTCTTCCTTCTCAGAAGTTAATCCATGAAACATCGCAGCCCGCTTGCTCGTCGTCGGCAACCCAGGACCCCGGCCGCCTTCAGCATCAGGACCGGCCGCCTCCCGCCCAGGCCCCAGGGTGGGGGGCGGGGGGCTTTCACAAGAAGGGGAGCAGCGCCGTCAGGGGCAGCTCCTTCTCCCCCAGCAGGGTGTCTCGCTTGAGGCTGCTGCCCTTGTTGACCACCTTGATCCTCAGGGCCAGCTTGCGCACGCTGGCGGGCCCCAGGCCGTCGAAGAAGAAGTCCTCGTTGAAGACGGGGTGCCGGCTGTTCTTGACGATGGTGCTGCGCTGCCGCTGCAGCTTCCCGGGCACCAGGCACAGGCCCACGCAGCAGTGGATGCCGCGCGCGTCGCCCAGCCCGTCGTAGAGGCCCTCGGCCGCCAGCAGCCGCACCCGCAGCCGGGCCTGGGCCGCCTCGTACTCCGCCAGCAGCCGCACGCTGCCCCGCAGCCCCATCCGCACCGTGTGCTCCGCGCGCGGCGCCGGGCTGGGCTCGGGGCCGGGCTCCGCGGCGGCCCTGCGGGTCGGCCGACGCCGGGCCCCGGGGCTGGTGTCCGGCGTGCTGTCGTCGGCCGACAGGGAGCCGTGGCGGCCCACCGAGTGCGTGAGCTGGCTCACCTTGGCCTGGCTGTCCTGGGCGAAACCTTTGAGCAGCGACACGGAGCGCGAGAGCAGGGGCGACCCGAAGGGGGAGGACTCTGCCGAGGACCCCGTGTCGCTCTCCCCTCCGCTGAGGCAGCGGCTGGGGCTCATGAGGGCCCCCCCGGCCTCCCGAGCGCCCCCGTCGCCCCCGTCGGCCTTGGCGCCCCCCCGACGGCGCGCGGCGCCCGGGGAGCCCACCTGGGCCAGCGCCCCGTGCTCGCTGTGGAACAGAGACTCCTTGCGCCGCGTGTGGGGGCTCTCGGCCAGCGTGGCGAAGCCGTAGGACGTCTGTGCCTTGGGCACCGAGGGCAGGGACATGGCGCCCTGGGCCTGGGGGTCGGCGTTGGTGGCGGCCTCCTCCGCCGGCCAGTCCTCGGCGCTCTCCACCTGGATCACGTGCCGCGTGGCCGCCTTGAGCAGGCTCCGGCTCTCGGCCGCCAGGCGCGCGGGCAGCCGCGGGCTCCGGGGGGCGCGGCGGGGCGCGGGCGCGGCCGGACTCTGCTCCGCGGCCGCCGGGCCCGGCTCAGCCTGCGCCTCGGGCTCCGCGGGGCCGGCGGGCAGCTTCGGGGGGATGAAGAAGTCGGGGATCTTGTCGGGCGTGAGCACGTTGCTGTACAGGGGCCCCCGGGAGGCCCTGTCGCCCCCCTCGGCCCCCGCCAGGCCGTCTTCCCCGGATCCCCGGAGCCGCTCCAAGAACCACATGTTGGTTTTCTTCATCGGGGCGCAGGCGGGAGGCCAGGAGGGGTCTGCGGGGCCCGCGGAGAGAAGCGGGGTCAGGACTGCAGGCCCCCACGCGCCGGTGCGGGAAGAGGGGCTCCCGCACGCAGCGGGGGGGGGCTGCGGGACACGGCCTGGCCGCAGGGGCACTCCGGAGTGTCGTCGGCGCTGCGGCGCAGGACGGGGTGGGGGGGCTCTCCCCCTCCCGTCTCCTCCCCTCCCTCCTGCCCCCCCAGCCCCTCCCGTCCCCTCCCCTCCCTTCCCCGGAGGGACCCGCTCAACTTCCCAGCGCCGACGCGGAGCCCAGGGGGGTGGGAGCGGAGCCCCGACTCCTAGGAAGCTCCTGGGGGACAGCGGCCCCTCTGCCCCCACCCGCGTCTCGAGGACCCCAATGCGCTTTCTCAAGGGTCGCGCTCAGTCCGCAGGGAAGACCACCAGGGCGCCAGGGGACCCCGGCTGTGCCAGCCCCGCTCCCCCCCAGCTCCCATCCACCTGTGGCTTCCCGCCCGGCTTAGGGTCCGGGCATCCGGTGGGTGGGGGGAGGGAGGGAGGCGAGTGGGGGACCCCCCCCCGCGCGGGAGCCGACCCTCCCTCCTCCCCCCTCCCCCCTCCCCCCTCCCCCGCCCCCCGCCCCCCCGACTCAGCCTGGGTGGGGGTGGGGTCCCAGCGGCCCCCGCGGACCTGGGGGCCCTGAACGCACCTGTCCGGGTGGTGGCCGGAGCTGGGCGCGTCCCGCGGACACTCAGGGTCTGGGCGCCGAGGCCGGGGCCGCGTCCACACGGCGGCGCCGCGCAGTCGCTCATTCACCGGCGGGAAGCCGCCCCGCGCCGCCGTATTCCTCCGAGTAGGGCCGCGCGCGCGCTCCGCCGGACACACGCGCTGGTGGGAGGGGTGCAGGTGGTCCCTCGCGGCCACCCCAGCGTCGTGCCTGCGGACCCGCGGAGTCGGGGACCCCAGAAACCCCAAGCCCCTGCCTCAGTTCGGGGGGTGGGCACAGACCCGCACCTGCTGGGGCCGTTTCTCCGTTGAGCAGCTTCCCGCATTACTAAGACGAGTAAAATGACAGCAGCAACAACAACGCAGCTGAATTTATTACTGAGCGCTTCCGCGGTGCAGCTCTTAACGTCCCGCCGCCCCCCCTCCGGTTCTCACAACCACCCGGTGGGTGGTCCCACTGCTGCCCCGTTTGTAGACGAGAGAGGAGAGGGTTTCCTTCTAGAAACAGGACCGGCATATGCTGCCCGGGCCGCCCATGAGGCCGGCGAGGGGGCCCCTCCTTCGTGTACTGAGCACGACTGGGCGCTGGACAGTGACCTGGACGCTGGGTTCACAGCTGTGACGAGGGCCGTGCTCCTGGCCCTGCGATGCACCCGGGGCCGGGACCCCACAGGCACATGGCACTCGGTGACTGGAGCTTTGGTGGCTCCCGGGACAAAGATGCAACAGGAAACTGTGATGCGAGCCGAGGGCAGAGGCCCCATGCTGTTCGCAGGTGGGGAAGCCGAGGGCAAGACCAGGACGGATGCCTGCCCGGCGGCTTTGTGATCTACTTCCCTGCTTCCTCCCTCCCAGCCTCAGTTTCCCCTTGTGGGACCCAAGGTGGACCAGTCCCAGGTCTAGTCTGGGTTTGTGAGGAGCCAGCAAGATGAGTATGGCCGGGACTAACGTGGAGTGGGCCTGGAGCTGCCAGCAGGAAGGGCCCCCAGACGCTGAGTCTCTAATAAACATCTGCTGGACAAACGGACAAATAGGCACCACTCCTAGAACAGTGCTCTCTCCTGGGCAGGCACGGAGTCGGGGCGCGGGGGCGGGGGGGGGGGCGCGGTGCTCAGGGGCCACGAGCCTCCCTCCTCTACTGCAGGGACAGCGACAGTGGGGCCCAGGAAGGGGAGTGATCGGCTCGGGCCTGCGAGGAGGGTGGCGCCAGGTGTCCTCATGACAGGCCGGCCTGGGCATTGGGGCCCAACTCCCGACTCACCTCTGCCCAGTGGGGGCAAGGTCTCTCCTCCCCGCTCGGTGGGGGAGGAGGCAGTGAATCCATTCCGCGCTGGTTCCTGTGCTGAGTAACTGGGGACACTAATCTGGGGTTCAAATCCTGGTGCCTGCACTTCCTGCTGTGTGACTTCTGGCAAGTGTCCAAACCTCTCTCTGCCTCCATCGCCTCGGGAGTCCACAGGCATAAAAACCATCTCTGCATCACAGCGTCAGAGAGAGGATTTGACAGGTTACTGTTGGCGAGGCGCTTAGAACAGGGGCCCAGAGTGTGTGCGACCTGAGTGCTGGTCGTCTTCCTCTCAGACACCACTCCTGGTGAGGAAAGGGACACAGCCAGGGGAGGCCCTGCCAGGCCCAGAAGCGACCCCACCACAGCCCAGCTCAGCAAGAAGCCCACCCCATCCCCCACCCCATCACATTAGGGGGCTGGGGAAACTGATGACCAGAGGGGAGGGGTACCCAGAACCATGCCTGCCCTGTGGGCCTCTGCAGACCCCACCCTGGGAGGGGTGGGGCTGGGGGGGGGGCGGGAATGCTGCCTGACATCTGCTTAGGTGGCTCGGTGGAGGTCGGTAAACAGGAAGCCCTGCCCCCTCCGCAGAGCCCTGTGGCAGCCCCCCCAGGACCCCCCACACCCTGAGCTGCAGTCTTCCTGGAATCAGGCTTCAGGCCCAGGCTGGGCGGCACGGACCACCCCTCCCGCCTGCCCTGAGTCAAGGAGCCTCGGTCCTCAACACCCCCAGGGACCCCTGAATGGAGGGGGAGGTGGCGGGTCGCAGGCAGGGGCAGGAGGAGGCGTGAGCCAGGCTCAGTCGTAAAGAGCATCCAGCAGCCAGGCTGGGAGGAGGCACAGGGAGAAAAGGGGCCTGAGGGCCGAGGAACAGCGTTGAGCCATGGGGCTGGTCTTCTCCCCTGGAAAAGGGAACAAAGGCCTGTCTGCGAGCTCCCATGAGGGAGCCAGCCCGACAAGGCACAGGCTAACCTGCTGGGGGACAGCGCTACCCCCGGTTTCCAGGTTAAAGAAACTGAGGCACAGGAAGGGGCCAGGTTCTGCAGAGCACCCAGTTCAGAGAAGGCAAACGATGGTCCAAGGGCGAGGCTGGGGCAAGCAGCATTGGTTGACTGAATAACCAAGCGTAGGATGGGGCAGGAGACAGGTGTGGAGGCCCAGCTGGAGCCAGGCTCCTGGCCCCCATCACCAAGGGCACCCCAGACCTGGCTTTCCCAGCTCAGGGAGCAGGATGGGGAAGTGACGAGCTCGGCCATCTCCCAGTGGTGTGGCCCTGGACAAGCCGCCTGCCCCTGAGCCCGAGCCTCCTCAGCTGTGAGGCGGGGAGAAGTCGGGCACCCTGAGTTTGTGCGGTCTTAGCACAGGCCCCACTGGAGGGCTAAACAGGGACTTTGTGGGGGGGGCCTGGGCCTTGGAGGACCCAGGGCTATGAATGGATGAATGAATGAATGAATGAAGTGCATTTAGACCCTTCCCTGGAACTAGAAACCTCGGGAATCTGACACTTCCTGACACTCCCCTGGTCCAGACCCCATGCACCCTCCCAGCCGCCTGTTCGTATCCTGCCCCCAACAGTGTATTTCCCTCTTGGGAATCTCGCCACCTCTGTCCTTCAGAGGGCCCTGGCAGCTCTCCCGGGCACCAAGCTTCACCCCAGCTGTGTCCTCCACCCCACTGCCCCTCTGACCTCACCTCCAGCCACATCCTTCTGTCCATCCTTCCAACCCCTGAATGTGCTGTGCTCCACACACCACAGGGCCTTTGCACATGCCATTCCTCTGCCTGGAACTCTGTCCTTACCTGGGGTCTCGACTCACCCTCCAGATCACAGTCTCGTGTCGTTCCCACAGAGAAACCCTCCTGAAGTCCCTGGATCCCTAAGCTCCAGGGCTCCCCTTTCCCAGCTGACATTACACACTGAGTGGTGACCTGCTGACCGAGGTCACTGGACTGTCAACTTCGTGAAGGCAGGTCTGCCTTGGTCACTCACATCCCCGTTACCCACCAGAGGTCCCGGCAGATGAGAGGGACTCAGTGCAGGTGCAGTAATGAACATTAGATGGGGGGTGTGGCTGGATGGACCGATGAGTGGAATGAATCACAGATGAACGGGAGGATCGATGGTGGATGGATGGGCAGACAGGTGAATGGGTGGATGGTGAGCGATGGGGGGAGGTGGGAGGACAGATCATGGACAAATGGACGGACGGACGGGCGGCTCTGCCTCCATGTCTCTGCAGTAACGGACATGGCATCTGAGTCCCCTCCTGGCTCTGCCTTCGGTGGCTTCGTCCCCAGTTACAGGCAGAGCAGAGTGGTGTCTACGCCCCACAGCTCTCAGGCCCCCAGGGCGTGGGGGGCCTGCTGACTGCAGAGAGAGCACCCCCCCAGATCCAGACCCTGGTGGGGCGGCGAGCGTCGGGGGGCCTCTGGCGGACAGCTGCCTCCACGCTTGTGGGAAGTCAGACAGGGGTCGGGGGCACGGGGCTTCCCCGGGGGGCAGCGTCTCAGGAGCCGAGAGGGGGAAGGTCTGGAGGGGGCGTCGGGCGTGGGGAGAAGTAGGGGCTTTGAGAGCGACGTCTCGAGAAGACGGGGCAGAAAGAAGTCAGGGCACATGAGCAGTCAGGCCGAATTTGGGGTGAGTTAGGAGCAGTTTGGAGAAGAAAACAAAGCTTCTTGACAGATACATTGGAGAACCTTGACAGAGTTCTGCAGCATTTGGGGATAAACTGGGGTGTCCCATAGAGAATCGGGGTGTGCCTTCTCTCGGGATGCAAACAGGGGTGCCTGAGAGACGGCGGGGGCTCTGGGAGAGTGGACAGCCCGCGCCCCGTGCACCCACAGGCCAGCTCCTCCAGCCCGGGAGGCCCCTGTGTGCTGGGGGCTCACGCTCCTCGTGGTCGTTCCCAGGTTTAATTACAAACAGATTCGGAAGGTCCAGTCCAGGCTGAAGCCGGGGTGGGGGCCTCAGGACAGCCCCCTGCTCAGTTGTCTTGGAGTCGCTGGCTGCCCCCTCAACCCAGGGGAGCCCCGGGGCCGCCCCCCACTTCCACACCAGCACGCGCACCAGCCTGAGGACCCAAAGCACCTCGATCCTCCCCCCAAAAGACAACGGTGCACCAATTTTTCAGGTAGGAAAACAGAGCCCGGGCAGGACAGGAATCCATCCCCACACCAGGGAATGGGGACTGCCCCCCCGTTCCAGGGAGAGAAGCTGAAGTCCAGCCGGGAAGGGACGGGGCCTCCCGGCCCATCAGGGACCTTGGCCAGGGCTCCCCGACAGACGGCCGTCTTCCGGCACGTTTTCTTTAAAGGCGAGAAGAGGTCCTGTCTTTGGTGTGGCACACCCTCACTCCAGGGGGAGGGCGGAGGCAGGGGCGTGGGAGAAAGGGTTCCTGGCCCCATCTCCTGGCCTGGTTGACCCAGCCCAGCCAGGGCCGCTGGAGATGGAAGATTCCAGAGGCCCACGTGGAGGAAGGAGAGACAGCGGCGGTTCCAGCATGACCAGGGTCCAGAGAAGGCTGAGGAGCCCATAAGGCCACAGGGGCGTCTGGGGAGCAGGGACAGGAGCCAAGCTGAGAACTGTCACCTGGGGAGAAAGGTCAAGGAGAGGTCAAGGGTCAGCTGAAACCAGTGTCGGGCGTTCCAAACCTGGCAGCAAAGGGACCCAGCAAGGGGTCTCAGGTTCAAGTCCTGGCTCCCCCATGTTCTTGCTGTGTGACCTAGGGTAGTGCCCGAACCTCTCTGTGCTGTTTCTTCTTCCTCAAAACAAGAATGCTAATAACACTGCCTGTTTCAGAGCTGCATGGGGGTCAGTGAAGATGCAGGAGAGGCTGAGCACAGGGTGGGACACAGCAACTGCTGCGTTAGCAGCTATGATTACTGCGTAGTTTCTTGGGTCAAAAACCCCTCTGGGAATAGAAGGGCAGCAGGTGGTCCCCCGGCATGAGCAAACATACAGCCCCAGGGAGCTGGGATCATCTGGGGTGTCCCGTAGGGCCATCGCCACCCCCTGAAGCCCCTCCCCAGGTTGGGAACCCCTCCTCTGCCTGAGTCACGCCGGCTGAGGGCAGGGAGGAGGCTGCGAGTGGGGGTGGAGCCAGGAAGGAGGCGGTTGTCATGGGGACAGGAGAGCGGCCAACCAGGTCCCGAGCTCCTGCCCAGCCCTCGGGAAATTCCACAGCCCCTCCCGCCCCAGCCAGCGGCTCCTCCGAGGTGGGTCCTGTCTCTCCCTCCTCCCCAAGGTCTGCTCCGCCACCCCCCCCCCCCGCACCCAGTTCAGCCGCACCCTCACCCCAGAGCCCCCTCTCACCGGAGGCGTCCTGGAGTCGCCCCGACCTGCCTGACCCCCTTCCACTCAAAACCCTCCCTTGGCTCCCGTCACCCAAAGCTGAAGGAGCACCTCGCATCTCAGGCCCAAGCCCCGCCTGTGCCTCCTCCAGGGCAGCCAGGCGCTGCCCTCCTGGAGACTTTCATCACGAGTCAGTCACAGGGTTACCACAACAACTCCGCATTTCCACTCCCACGTGTACACCGCCCAGGGGCAACGAAAACACGTCTACACAAAACCTGCACACACACGCTCACGACGGCATTGTTCACAGTCACCAAAAAGTGAAACACTCAAATGTCCATCAATGGATAAAGGCATCCACATGTGTCCACACACACACCGGAGCACGACGCAGCCGTGAAGAGGAGCGAGGCCCTGACACGGCTGCACGTGGACGGACCTGCACACACGACGCTCAGGGAGAGAAGCAGACACAGAAGGACACACGGCGTGTGACCCCATGGACGTGAAACGTCCAGAACAGGCAGATCCACAGACAGAGAGCGGGCTCGTGGGGGCCAGGGGCTGGGGAGGGGGTGGGGGTGATGCTGATGGGGGCTTCTTTTGGGGTGATGGAATGTTCTGGAATTAGATGGAGGGATGGTTGCACAGCTCTGTGAATGTACCCAAACCCCCCCAAGTTGTACCATCTAAATGGGTGAATTGTGTGGTATGTGAATTCGTTCCCAATTTTCAAAATGAGAAAAGTCTGGCGCCCGGGCGAGTGCTGGGGCCGGGTGCTGACCACGCACCTGCTCAGGGCTCCCGCTTGACCACTCCGCGCAGGTGCAGCTCGCTCTCGGCGGCCACGATGGGCTGCCCGTTCTGCAGGTGGTAGTCGATCAGGTGGCTGATGCTCTCGAACAAGACATCCTTCGTCCGCACCTGCGGGACCAGAGGCCTCGGCATCAGCACCACCGGGAGCTCGTCAGCGAGGCACACGCTCAGGCCGGCCGCAGACCTCCACGGCGGGGTCTGCCTTTTCACAAGTCCACAGCGGTTCTGACGCACGCTCGTGTCTAAGAACCACCGGATCAGAGCCTCCCGGAACTCCAGCTACAGAACCAGGCTCAATTCCAGACCTACATATGGACACAGGCTCACAAACCACGAGGGTTCAGGGGCCACACTTCCTATAGTGGGTCAAACGATGGCCCCAAAAGATGTCTACATCCTGACCCCCGGCACCTGCGAATGGGACCTTATTTGGAAAAAGCATCTTTGCAGAAGTGGTGAAGCGGAGCGTCTTGAGATGAGCTCATCCTGGATTACCCAAGTGGCCCCAAATCCAATGACTAGTGTCCTTGTAAGAAGAGAAAAACGTGGACACAGGGAAGACACCACGAGAAGACGGAGGCAGTGACTGGAGTGATGTGTCAACCAGCCGGGGAGCGCCAAGGATCGTGGCAGCCATGAGAAGCCAGCAGAGACACGAACAGATGCTCCTCAGAGCTGCAGAAGGAACCAGCCCTGCCAACACCTTGGTCTCAGACTCCTGGCCTCCAGAACCGGGAGAGAATAAACCTGTTGTTTTAAGCTACCCAGTTTGTGGTCATTGGGTGGCAGCCTTAGGAAATGAACACACCCCTGGAATCTTGGAGACACAGATCCGAAAACCAGAATCACCGGATCCAAAAACCACTAGCGTCTTAGAATGAGAAAAATCTTAGCACCACTGCATGCTGGAACTGGATGCAATGCAGAGACTGTCAGTCGCCCGCGGATGCTGCCGGGCTCACGGGACACACACTGCCTGGGGAGCAGGCTCAGGATGCACATTCCTGGGCCTGACGGCAAACGTCTATTTCCACAGCACTGGGGACAGGACGTGGGAGGCTGCCTTTTAGCCGATTATTTGAGGAACTCCTGAAGCTTCTCCAGGGTTAGGGGACACCGGTCTAATCCCAGAGATCAAGTTAATGGAAAGGGACTCGGGGGGACACTGACGTCCCAGGCCTGCCAGAGGTTAGGGCCATGAGCAGCGAGACCCGACACAAGGGAGGAGGTGGCTCAGGAACTGAAAGAACACCACCTGGAACCGCGGCCCCAGCTGGCCCAGCCGCTCAGCTGCCCCCCGCCCAGGTGCACCCCACACAGGGAGAGGAGCCTAGCACCAAGGGTGGGTCTGAGGATTCAGCGGGACGGCAAACTCTGAGACAGCACAATACCCCAAGCACCTTCTCGCCTGAGAAATGATCTGTGAGGTCTGAGGCCTTGGACACTGGGAAATGCTTCATAAACCCTAGAACTCCTTGCAAATTGGAAAATACTTTGTAAACCCTAAAATGCTTTAAGAACTGTTGCATACCAAATCTCATCGACTCAAAACAACTGTAAGATGCATCACTATTTTCTGCACCACAAAGAGACAAAAAAAACCCTCCCAGTTAAATAATGATGCAGTTCAAAGATGCAATTGATGGTTTTCAAAAAATCCAGACTTCAGAGATGCCAAAATGAGAGAAAAGAAAGGTGTGTACCAGAGGGTTGAAGCAATTCAGTAACTTGTAGACCCTAAGACTCCTTGTAAATTGAAACATGCTTTGTGAACCTTAAAATATATCAGAAACCGAAAATACCCTATTTATCACTGAAAGATATCACTCCTTGTAAGAAGCATTCGTGATGATAGAATGTGGGGGGAAAAGTGTATCTTACAATTGATGAAATATGGCACTGGGGCCGGCCAGTGGCTGAGTGGTTAAGTTCGTGCGCTCTACTTCGGCAGCCCAGGGTTTCGCTGGTTCGGATCCTGGGTGCGGACATGGCACTGCTCATCAGGCCATGCTGAGGGAGCGTCCCGCGTGCCAGAACTAGAAAGACCCACAACTACAATATACAGCTATGTACAAGGGGGCTTTGGGAGAAAAAGGAGAAAAAGGAGAAATAAAATCTTTTAAAAAAAAAAACAAAACAAAGAAATATGGTACTTTGTAAAGCACAAAAGGCTTTGAAATTGGAAAAGGTTTTGTAACCCCTAGAATGCTTTATAGACTGGGAAATCCTTTGTAAACCCTAAAATTCTTAAACTGGAAAACATCTTGTAATTCTAAAGCACCTGGTAAACGGGGACAGAATCTGTAAACATAAAGGGTTTTGTAATCCGGGAACTACTTCCATAAACCTAAAGGGCCCTAAAAAGGTGGGCGCCCTGGGCCCCGGGAGGAGGGATACAGCCTAACCCTAACCCTAACCCTAACCCCGCCTCAAGCCACGCCCCCTTAGGCCCCGCCCACAAAGCCCTGTCCCAGGCCCGGCCTTCAGTCACGGCTGGTAGGTCCCGCCCCCTCTAGCCCCGCCCTAGGCCACGCCCACCGCCCCAGCCCCGCCCACACGAAGTCACGCCCCCTCACCGCCTCCAGTCGCGGCTCTTAGGCCCCGCCCCTCTCCTCGAAGCCCCGCCCCTCCCGGGCCGGCCCCCGCCCCCGCGCCCACCTTACCACGCCCTCGGGGTCCACGAGCAGCAGGTGCTTGGGCTGCCCCGCGTGCATGCCCGTGAGGACGTACTGCCCGGGGTTGGTGACGCTGTCGCGCACGAGGAAGTCGCCGTCGGCTCGAAGCAGCTTCTCGGCCGCCCGCCGGCTCATCTGGCCGTGGTACCAGGGCTCCTGCCGCAGCTGCTCCTCCGTGGGGGCGATGGGGGCCCGGCGGGTCGGGGGGCTGGGCCACTGGTCCTCCAAGGGGAGGGGGGCTGCGGCCACAGAGCACTCGTGCAGCTTCAGGGCGTCCTCGAAGGGTCCTGCGGGCGAGGACGGGGTGGGAGGCAGGGGTTAGGCAGGAAGAGGGGGCCTGGGCTGGGGGCAGTGACCGCCCTTCGGGACTGGGCAACACTGACGGGGCACCTGCTGTGCAGCAGACCTTGCAGCAAGCCCGCCACGGTGCGTCCCTGGCTGTGTGCCGTGTGTGCACTGAGTGTGCAGTGTGCCATGTGTACTGTGTACTGAGTGTGCATTGAGTGTGCTGTGCATGTGCTGTGTGTGTTGTACCAACCTCATACCCGTCACCATCTTCACCGTCTCATTGGTTCGATGAGTTATTCAACATATTCTGCTGGATTTCCCAAGTGCTGTGCGTGCAAAGAATGGCAGCACTTGTCTGCTTCCAAGTGTACAGGCATTTCTTTTTCATGTCTTGTTATATTGGCTTCCTGCCCAGTGTTTCTGCCTTGTGCTCCGTTGTCCTGTCTGACCACACTGGCCCGAGCCCCCGTACAACACTCCCTCTGGGGTGGGCACAGGCGCCCCTCCTTTCCCACCCCTTCACAGAAAAGCTTCTGATGGTTTGCAGAGGTTTTCCAAGGCTACCAGCAGGCACCAGTGTGACGCTGGACAAGCCTCTCGCCCTTTCTGAGCCTCAGTCCCCTGGTTGTTAGGGGGCATGTGGAGCAGCCTAGCTCAGCCTCGACCCCCACTCTGGTGTATCTGAGCTTTGCACCCCACTTCTGGCCCCACTTCTGGTCCTTGGGGATCCCCGCTCCTCCAGGGGTCCAGGTGAGGCCAACCCGCCTCCAGCTCCCAGGACGCGCGGTGGAGCCTGGCCAATCGGCCTATTCATTTCACCCTCCCGGCCAGCGATTGGCTGGGGAGTGAGCACGTGACCAAGGCTGGGCAAATCAGAGGTCACCCGAGGATATTTAAGGGGAGCCTGGGACACAGCGTCTTCTTCCCGCCCCTCGCCCCCGGGCTGCCTGGCCCCCTGGGACCCCATGTCTCAGCAGGCGCAGGCCTGGAGCCCCTGTTCCCACCTGAGGACCGCGTGGGCCGTGGGCTAGGATCCTAGTCCAGCGCCTGGCGCACAGCAGGCGCTCAGGAGATATTAGGTGCTGTCATTAGAGCTGCGGCAAGAAATCGAGTCGTCAGATGGTGGGGAAAGGGGCTTTGCGACCTTCGTCAAGGAAGCCGCGCCCGGCTGGCCTGGGAGCTTCTGGGGGATCGCCAACTAGGGAGGCGTCCCCAGGGAGGGAGACGCCCCTGCCTGGCCCCACAGTGCTCCCGGGAGAGGTCGCAACTGATGCGGTGGGAGATAAGGAGAGTATGGGGACACAAGCCTCCTCCCTCAGGCTGGGGGTCCCAGGGGCAGGAAGGACCCTCAGCCGGTCACTCGGTCAGAATGTGGACTAGGCTTCCCCTATCAGGCCGGGATTCCCGCGGAAGAGGTTGGAGCCTCCTCCCTCAGACCACGGAGTCACACGAGGAGGGAGCTTAAATTCCCTCATCAAACCGGGGGGACCCAGAAGCAGGGATCTTGGCAGGCCTCCCGCAATAGACTGAGGGGTCCCGGAGAGAAGAGGGGTCTGAGCCTCCGCCATCGTACTGACCGCTCATTCAAGGTATGAACGAGCCCCTCCTGTCAGACGGAGAACTCCCATGGAGAGGAAGCTGCGTCACCCACAAAAGGCTGGAGAAGCCCCCTGAGGGGGAGCCACCCAGCCTCTCCTGTCAGACTAGGACGTCCCATAGGAAACAGACTTCCCCACCCCACCCCCACCAGCTCAGACAGTCCTCAGGGGAGAAGTCCCCACGGAGAAAGCTGGGCCTCCCCCGTCAGACCGCCGGGGGCACGGGGCGTGGCCTCCCCCTCAGGCTGGCTTGCCCCCACATACGCATGTCGAACAGGTCCTTCTTGGGGCTGTCCTCCGGCTGCAGGGGCTCCGGGGCATCCAGACCCTGCGTGTTGACGTAGAGGTGGTCCTCGTAGTCTCGGGGGCCCCGGGCGTCTGCTTGCACGTAGCCGTCCCCGGGTGGGGCTGGGGAGGCGGGACAGGTGGAGGGTCAACGGGGGGGAGCCCAGGAGGGGCCCTGGAGGTGGGAGCAGGCGAGACCCCACCCCCCCCGCCCCGCCCCCACCCCGCCCCCACCCCGCGTCCACACCTGTCTCCTTCCAGGAAGGAAGCCACACACCCTTTTGTGCGGCACCAGCGGGAGTGAAAAACCCCATAAATGCCCACTCAGAGGCCGGGAGGCACCAAGGTCCACACCCGGGAAGGGGACAGCCGCCCAGCCAGGCAGGAAAGTGGCCCCTGGGACCAGAGCAGCCCAGCTTCAAAAGAAGCCAGAAATCCTGATGTTTACGTTCACTTTCCACATTTAAAAGATAGTAACAATAAACTCTGTTCTCCCTGTAATTATGTTATCAACACGGTACATAAGTCATCTGCTCCTGTTTGTTTCTATTTTAGGATCTGCTTCCTTTTCTCCCTCAAATCTCATTTTGAATGTGTGAAGCGTTTACATGGTTCAAAAGCCACAGGAAAAAAGGTGTCCTTGGAGGAGGCCTCACCCGGATTCTGCTGGACTTGATCGTGGGCCTCCGCCCGCTGCCCTGGCCTCACCCACGTGTTATCAGACTGTCAGTTTTTGCTGACCTGGTGGGTGAGGAAGGGCATCCTGGGGGACCTTAATTTCCATCTCTTATTCTCAGCAATGGAGCATCTTTCCCAGGCTCGGGGCATTCTGTATCTTCTTGGAACTGTCTGTCCATTTCTAAACATCTCTATTTTTACTCCTTGGCAGGGAAATGACAACCTCTTAATATACCGCGTGGCCAGCTCCAGCCTGAGGGCCTGCAGTTTGCAATCTCCAGTTCAGGCCAATTACACCATCAGCCCTCCCGACTCTGAGCTCACACGGCAGCCCCACCCGGGCCGTGGCAAGTTGGCCGACCTCTGTGCCTCAGACTCTGCTGCAGAATGGGGAGCCCAGGAGCAGCTTCCTTGTGAGCAGAGGTGGGAATTAAAACCTCAGAACAGCATCTGGCAAAAGCTATGATTCAGTACGACTGCTCACGCTGTGCCAGCCTTCGGCGGTTGATGGGGGCAGAGGGGTCTCAGCCCAGGCTTCCTAGTCTGCCAGAAGGAGGCACAGATGCTCCCAGACTCCTACAGTCAGGGTTAGGTGAGAGGGAAGAAACCTGGGTTGCGGGAGTCTGGAGTGAGAGAGAATTCCCAGATGTTGGAGGTGGGGCATTGATGTGTTGGTAGGAGTTCTTGGCCAGAGAACTGGAAAAGGCATGACAAGGAGCAGTAACAGCACGTGCAAAGACTCAGGTAGGAAACGCTGGGGAGCCCTGGCTCGGGGTGAACAGCCCGAGTCCCAGAGAAATAGCAGACCAGGGCCCTGTTACAGCGTGGGACCCGGTGGGTGGGCGCCCGATACACGAGTGTTCTTCAACCTCAGGCGCTGGGAGCCAACGAGGGCTCTGATGGTTGGCAGTGAAATGCCCAGATTATCTGGGAGGATCTAAAAAAAGCCCAGCACAGCTGTGAGAACAGAGGCAGAGCTGGTGGGCGCAGCCGCATCACGCGCAGTCTGGCAGTCTCCAGGAAGGGGGCTGCGGTCTGCACCCCGTCACCCAGCGAGTCCACAGCTACACGCCCACGGGAGGAACACACGGCTGGGCCGAGGGGACGTCTGCCGCTGTGTCTGAGACGGGAGCTGGAAGATGCTGATGCCCAGCTAGGGGCGGCCGCGTGAGAAACAAACGCTGGGGGCGGGGGGGGCAGCACGCAGTTGTTCAGAAGGAGCAAGGACCCCGGAGGGACCGAGGTGCCCGCAGCCGGCCTCGGGGCTCGTCATGCTTTGGGTGCCTCTGCATGTGGTCTGAACGGAGACGGAGGCCGGGGGTCAGCCAGGGCCCAGGGGTTCTAGCCTCTCTGTCACTTTTAATTCTGTGTAATAGCATGAAATGCCTGTGGGCTGAACACTCGATCATTTCGTCAAAACAAAAGCTCGCAGCACCTGGTGCAAATGTAAATCGAGAGGGCGACTTTGTGATTTCTGTCGACATGGACTGGGCAGCCGCCCTCCAGGAGGGTGGACTCTGTTAAAATCCCTGAACACAGCTGAGTGACGAGTGTTCACGGTTGTCCATCGCACGGTTGTTGTCACAGCAAACGCCAGGCGGGACCCAGGTGTCTGTGAGTGAGGGGCGGGCGGGATGAGGCCAGCCCTTCCTGCAATGGAGTGCTACGCAGGGGTGAAGGCCAGCAAGGCCATGTGATGGGCGCTGATGTGGAAAGGGTTCCCGGGCGATTGTCACGTGGCAAAGAGCAAGGTGGGCGCGTATATGGTGACCCCCACCTATAAAAACGGGGGCCTGAATTGGCTGGATATACATGGAAAATTCCGGAAAAACAACAGACACTCCTAACCACTGACGGCGGTCACCTGACGGAGGCAGCTCAGGCAGACGGGCAGGGACGAGAGTGACTCTCCACCGAGGCCTTTTCATGCTCTGGTGTTTGAACCATGTGAACGCAGGCCCTGTCCCCAAAATGCAATGAAACTCGAGAGCAAGGAAGAAACGGATGCTTTCCAATCTCACGAAAAGTGCTGATGCAGAGAGGAGAAAGCAAGGGGGAGGCCTCCACTGGGGCGGCCCGTGGCCCCGAGGGCACCCCCTCATACCTGAGGGGCCCAGGTCCCACGGGAGGCCACGGGCGTCTCTTCGAGCAGGCGCTGCTCCCTGCAAAAAAGCGAGGGGTCCTCCTGCGGTTCCTGAACCCGTTCTGAGCTGAGCACCCCGTCTGCCCACCCCAACCCTCCCAAACGGCTGGAGACCCTGAACCCCCTACACCCTCCCTGGCCGCGTGCCCACCACCCACTTCTCATCAGCCTTCTCTGCACCCTCCAGCTGTCTGGCACATGCTGTTCCCTCCACCTGGATGCCCTTCCCTGCACCGCTCTCCTGAGCAGCTCCTATTCACCCGTCAGGGCCCAGCCCGACACCGCCTCCGCAGGGAAGTCCTCCTGACCACAGAGAGTCTCCCCGCTGAGTTTTTTGTTACCTCCCTCGGAAGCCCCTTCACGGCCCCCAGTAAACCACTGGGCTGATTTTTACTCAAAGTCTGAGGGTGGGAATCACGTCTGAAGTGTCTACAATGGGCCACATAGCTCTGTGCAGTTTGGGGAAGGAAGGAGGGGCGGGGGGGGGGACCCTCCTGGAGGATGGAGGAGGACAGGAGCAGAAGGACAAGCTGAGGAGTCCGCCCCGGGGCCGCCCCTCCCCGCGAGCCCACCGAGGCTGACCTGGCCCGGGGCCCCGAGGGCGCAGGGCTGCGTGAGGGCGAGCCTGGAGTCCACCAGCCCGCCCAGGGGCGGCTCCTTCCCCGGGATGCTGTTGTAATAATTGTGCTCCGCCTCCTCCTCGTCCCCCCAGGCCGACTCCTCGGGCCCCGTCAGCCTGGGGACAGACAGCGAGCGGGAGCCAGAGCGCCAGGGCCTGGCATCCGAGCTTTGCCCGGCGGGTGGGGGACGAGCCAGCCCGGGGACTCTGACCCCCCACGAGCTGGGCCCGCCCAGGAGCTGTTGCTGAGGGAGCCCCGGTGCTCTCTCCTCATCTGTAACTGCAGGTGCTCAGAAAAGCGGGTGCCCACGCCTTCCTGCCCGCTCTGGCGCCCCCACGGGGCCGGGCACGACCCCAGGCCCACACCAGAAGGGGGTCGGGGGCGGCACCCTCTGCATTTAAAACGCCCTCGCTGTTGGGCCCCCTGACAGCACCTGGGAAACATCCTGTGGCTGCTGGTCCAGGCACACGGGGAGCGCTGCCTGCCCCCCAGTCGGGAGGGACAACAAGTTCCCCGTGGCCCCAGAGGAGCTGTGCAGCCACGAGGGCAGAGGCAGCTCCAGGCGCCCGCCGCGGTAGGGGAAGCCAGAACGTGAGCAATGGGCGTGCAAACCCGTGTGCGAGGCCACGGAAGCATGCCGGCAGGGAGGGCGGTGGGAGGAGGCCCTCGTGGGGCTGTGTGCGCCCGCACCCGTCCTGTCCCTCACCACGTGCGTATCTGAGTTCCCCACAGTTCACTTCCTCGTTATCGTTCTAACAAAATTCCATCTGTTCAGATATTCAAGTTGCCGCGAACAGGGGTCGGGGGTCCGGTCGCCGCCTCTATCTGTGCGTCTGGGAGCAGAGCACAGTTTCTACACTTTTAAGCCATAAAACTTTTAAAGGGTTAAGAAAAAATCAAAGAACAGTGGCGACACGTGAAAGTTCCATGAAATTCAAATTTTCGTGTCTATAAATAACGTTCTGTTGGCCTTCGGCCGAGCGTCCTGCGCCGTGTGCTCCACGGCAGCCGTCACGGCTGAGACAGGCAATCTGGCCCGCAGAGCCGCAAACAACGCCTGTCTCGCCCCCGGCAGCGGCATTGGCCGCCCCCGTCCACACTGCAGACTAGGCAGTGACGACAGCCGCCAACGGGCTCCCTGAATCCTCGCCTCAGCTGGGGGATGCTATTCTGATCCTGTTTTTACAGACGAGGAGAGGGAGTCCTGGGGGCTGAGCCGTGTGTCCAGGAGGGGGCACAGAGGGAGGACTGAGAGCTGGGACCCTGCACCCGGCCGTGGTCTGGCGGGTGTGGTCCCCGGGAGGATGGGAGGAGGGGGGCCGGTACCTTTCCGGGGGGACGACCGCCGTGGGCGGGCTGTGCAGGTACTGCTTGAAGCGCAGCTCGAAGGCCTGGCCCACGGTGCTGATGACGCTCTGGGCAAGCCCCTCGCAGCACTCCAGGATGTGGCAGGCTGCGGTGGGGGCTTTGTTACCAGGCAGCAGCACGACCCTGGCCAGCTGCCTAACCCCAGCCCACGGGGCCCCCGCGACCCCACGGCGGCCTCACCTCTCTGGTTGATAGGGTCCTTGGCGACGTAGGCCACATAATCTGTCATGTCCTGGGGAGAGAGCGGACGGGTGGGAGGGGTCAGCTGGGCCTGCCCGGACCACCCCAGCCAGGATTCCCGGCCACCCACCACCAGCAAGGGTCCGGGCAGAGGGTCTCAAGGCTGCAGGGGACAGAGAGGCTGGAAGGCCACCCCCCAGTGCCCGGCCTTACCGTGTCACCACCCGACGCGAAGGAGATGGACTGCATGTGGTGGTTGGCGATGATCTGGCGAGAGAGAGAGACACGCCATCACGGGGCCCTCGTTTCAGGGTCAGGGACCCTGGGCTCAGCTGTGTCGCTGGACCAGGGCCACAGGGATGTGGGGATGAAGACGTCCCCCTGACTGGGCCGAGATAACCTAGAGACCAGCTGGACAAGGAACCCCCAGCCAGGGCGGGATGCAGGGGCCATGGCCACGCAGTCACATGTGAGAAAGGACAAACCCACCTCTCACTGGTGGACACCCTCACAGGTGCACAGACCAGAGCCCAGACACAGACAGGTCAACACGTCCCCAACACAGACGCACAGACACGCCTCTGACACAGAAACACACACTAACACACAGAGACACACACACAACACACCCTCACACAAACCACACCCATGCACACACAGACACACTTCATCCACAGACACACTGTCCCACACACATTCTCACACGTCATGTCCAGAGACACAACCACTCACACACACTCAAGCCCACCTTCACACCCTGCCGTGTACCCATAGGCCCTCACAGTCCCCCACACAGATGCCCCGGTGTGGCACTCGCACACTCACACACACCCCCCCATGCAGCCATGGAGGCACTGAGGGGACAGGAGCGGGACCCACCATAGGCTCCTGACTCTGATATCAACTCCGACAGCATCACCTACGTGCTCCTTTGCGTGCTCATTTGCATACTCTCATACATGCATATGTTCATTTGCACTCATTTGCATAGTTGTATCCATTCCTTCGTTTGCATGCTCATTTGCATGCCAGCATACATCTGTGTGCTCATTTGCATACTCACATCCATTCCGTTTGCAGGCTCACTGGCATCCATGTGCTCATTTGCATGCTCACTTACATCTGTTCCCTCATTTGCACGCTCATTTGCATGCCAGCATACATCTGTGTGCTCATTTGCATACTCACATTCATGTGCTCATTTGCGTACTCACATCCATTCCATTTGCAGGGTCACTGACATCCATATGCTCATTTGCATGCTCACTTACATCTGTTCCCTCGTTTGCATGCTCATTTGCATGCTCTTTTGCATCGATTTGCTGCCACTCGTTGCATTCCTGAGTGCTCATGTCCCTCCACAACCCAGTGAGCAGCAGTGATGGGGCCAGGCAGGGCTGAGCCGATGCACCAGGCGCCTCCCTGGGTACCCCACAGATCACCTAGCCTGTCTGCCCCGTGAGGATCCTCAGGGCTCCCCCCTGCCCAACCCTAGCCCAGGGAAGACCCAGCCGGTGGGCACATCACTCCCCTCTCAGCCTCCGTGTCCTGGTCCACAGGCAGAGTCACTGCAGAGAAGGAGAGGTGCTGACCCTACTGGCAGCTGCCCCCCCCCCGACTTCCTGGGGCCCTGGCTTCTTCCGCTCCCCTCCTGCGTGCCCCCAAAGCAGCCACAGTCAAGCTCATACCAGACCACACATCACAGCACTTCCCAACTAAAACCTCTCAGGATCTCAGTGCTTCCTGGACGGATCTCAGCTTCTCACTGTGAGCCTCACTACCGTCTCCAGCTCCATCTTCCCACAGGGTGACCTCTGCCGGGGATGCCCTCTCCTCACCTGCTCAGGCAGCCCCAGCATCCCTGCCTCCAGGAAGCCCTCCGTGACGCCCCGCTGGGTCACAGCACCCTGTGCATGCTCACAACCACCCTTGCTTGGCCTCACAATGCTTCTCAGAATTCGTAATCATTCCCTCATTTCTGCAATTATATTTTGGTTGTTTGTTCCCACCAGAAGATTCCAAGCCAGGGTCTCTCCCCCTCAGCATCGTGGATGTCCGGCCGGGTCATTCTCCGGGAGGGCCATCCTGGGCGTGGGGGGTGCTGAGCAGCACCCCTGGCCCCACCCTCTCAGCCAGGAGCTCCCCCAGTCGTGACAGCTGTGGCTCAGGGCGGGGCCCCCGCAGAGCTCCAGGCGAACAAGCTCACACCAGGGCCCGCGGTCACAAACCTGCGCCCACTGCCCTCCAGGCTGCAGACGCCGCCCCGCGGGGGGCACTCACCTGGCGCGTGGCGGGCACCGAGAGGTTGAGGCCGTCGATGGAGATGCTGACGGCGATGCTCATGCCGGCGAAGCGCAGGTTGCTCTTGCCCAGGATGGAGGCCAGCGCCTTGTTGGGGGCCTGGGGGCGGGGCAGAGGGCAGCGCGGGCCTGGGAGGGGGGCGGCCGCAGGGGGGCTCCGGCCGGGGGGGCGGGGGCTGCGGACGGCGGGCGTCCTCCCTCGGGCTCCGACCGTGCCCACCAGCCCCGCTAGGGGACCGCGAGCTCCTCACCCACCTTCTTCTTCCAGGAGCCCCGGACGCCGGGCACCACCTCGTGGAGCCGGTTGATGGCTTCCCTGGGGGAGGGCGGGGGCTTAGAGAGCGCGGAGGGGGAGGGGCGGGGGAGGGGCGCGAGCTCAGGGAGGGAGGGGACAAGAGAGGGAGGGATGCTGGGCTACCCGGAGAGCGGAGGCACGAATGGGGGCTCCCCGGGCACCCGGACCCCCACCCCGTTTGCATCTGGCAGTTACCCCGCCCTCAGCCCTCTCCCCAGAGCCTGGATCCTAAGGTCTGTGTGGCCACAGGCTGGTCAAGATTCCCATCGGTGGCGTCGTGAGAACATGACCTCTGCTCTGAGCTCCCTGAACAGAGGCAGGAACTGACCCCCCAAACAGTACGGGAGAGACCCCTGCGAAACCGCTAGTCCCCCGGGGGCTACAGGGTCCTGAAGGTCAGAAGGTCACACAACAGGCTCACAAAAATGTTGGTGCCAAAAGGAGAAACTAGGCCCTCACACCCAGCGGGCGGGAAGGTAAAAGGGTGCAGCCACTGTGGAAACGGCCCAGCCATCCACTTTCAGGCACACGCCTGAGAAAAACGGAAACACACATCCACACGAAACCTGCACACGCGTGTTCACAGCAGCGTGATTCACAGTAACCCCCAAAAGGCAAAAACAGCACAAACATCCATCACTGGACCACACACGTGTCCACACACACACGTGTCCTCCCACACGCTGGAGCACAACGCAGCCGTGAAGAGGAGCGAGGCCCTGACACGGCTGCACGTGGACGGACCTGAACACACGACGCTCAGGGAGAGAAGCAGACACAGAAGGACACACGGCGTGTGACCCCATGGACGGGAAACGTCCAGAACAGGCCGATCCACAGACAGAGAGCGGGCTCGTGGGGGCCAGGGGCTTGGGGGGGGTGGGGGTGATGCTGATGGGGACGGGGCTGCTTTTTGGGGTGATGGAATGTCCTGGAATTAGGTAGGTGGTGGTTGGTATCTGTGAAGATACCAAAAAACATCTAGTTGTATGCTTGAAAAGGGTGAATTGTTTGATAAGTGAATTATGTCTCAATAGAGTTTTTTTTTTACATTTTTTCCTACACAAAAAAGATGCTGGTCCCCTCCCGCCTAACCCTGGTTGTCGCCATGACTCTTCCTGACTCCGTTCCAGGCAGCTCAGAGCATGAGATTGACGCACCTTCTCTGCACCAAAAAAATCAAGGACGACGGAGATGTGGTCCCACCCTGGACGGGCCCCCAGCCCCCCAGCCCAGACTCAAGCGCTCACCTGGTGACCTGGGTGCGAGTGTTGAAATCCAGGGAGCGCATGGAGCGGAGGACTTCAATGCAGCCCATGTACTGAGGGGAGAGAGAACACGGGTGAGCGGGTGGGCCCAGAGCACAGTCCAAAAGAGCCCAGCCGGGGACTGATGGTCAAATCCAGGCCGTCCCACCCCCCACCCCCAGAGAAATCTCCACTCCCCTCTCCTGCACCCCCTGGGTTCCAGCCCTTTCCTCCGTCCTCTAGACAGCCAGCCTTGTTGCCCCAGGGCCTTTGCACCTGCTGTCCCTTCCCCCACCTATCTACAGACTGGTTCTTTCCCCATCTTGAGGCTCAGCGTCCCCTCCTCAGAGCCGCCTTCCCTGACTCCAGGTTGTTTCCTCCAGGCTCCATCGCGGCTGTCCTTGAACTGCCTGCTGTTTGCTCTCTTTCCGATCCACTAGGACGTGAGCCCAGGAGGAGCAGGATGGGGGGTCTTGCTCGCTCCTGCCTCCCCAGAGCCCAGCACGGGGCCTGCGAGCAGACAGAGGGAGCCCTCCGGCCCGTGAAGCCCAGAGCCTCGACGTCTCTCTCATGCTTTGAGGGAAAGTGTGATGGCCCAGACTGTGCTGTCCACGGAAAGCAGCTCAGAAATCCAGGAGACTAGGCTGAGCGGAGGCAAAGCAGCCAGCGGAGCTCCTGGGCGGCTGCGACGGCTGCCGAGGGTTGAGAGTGAGGACAGACGATGCCACGAGCGTCCTTCCCACGTGGCAGCTGTGCCGCTGGGCAGACGACAGTGCGACGCGGATGGCGGGCCGCGGGGCAGCCTCTCTCGTGGGATCCCATTTACGTGAACCGCCCAGACCAGGCAGATCCACAGAGAGCGGTGGGGGGGGGGGGAGGGGTGGCACCGACTGCTGAGTGGGATGGGGTTTCTTACTGGGGTGACGGAACGTTCTGGAACTAGATGGAGGTGATGGTTGTACAAGCTTGTGAATGAACCAAATGCCACTGAATTGTACACTTCGAAATGACTCATGGTCAATTTTGTCACATGAATTTAACTTGATTTTAAAAATGATACACACACGCTTTGAGCTCAAAACTCCATTTTTAGGACTTTATCCCACAGAGACAGCAGCTGTGGCCACCGACGTGTGTACAGCTCACTGTGGGGGGCGCGCTCCTTCCTCTCCGCAGGGCCCCACCCCACACGCAGCCCCAACGCCCAGCAGCCGCTCTGCACCCACTGGTTCCCTCTGCCCCCGGCACCCACGTCCCAGGCTGGTCCTCCGCTCGCCCTCCTCAGCGAGTCCTGCCTGCCTCGGTCTCCCCGCAGGAGCGCCCGCCCGCCTGCTGGGACCTGCAGCTCTGAACTGATCAGCGAGAAGGTGGAGACGCCCTAAAGGTCAACACGCTCGGGGTCACGAGACCCAATAAGGACGCCAGGTGGGTTGGAATTTCCAAAGAACGATGAGGTTTTTCTTGGCATCAGCGCGTCCCCAACAGCACGTGGCACATCCTCCTGCAGGAGATCACCCGTGTCGCGGGAACTGTAAATTTAACTGCGTGGCCTGTGTGTTGGCGAAATCTAAACACACCACGGTCCCTGGAGGGGAGGGTGTGCCGTCGACAAAGAGATGAGAGACGTCGGATGTGTTCACATGAAATTATCTCCAAGATGCGGCGCTGAGGAGCAGAGCGAGGGGCAGAGAGCTGCCATCTGTGCAGACGAGGCCACGGAGGAGCGTGCGTGTGCACAGGCCTGTAGGTACGTGTGCACGTGTGTTTGCACATGTGTGCACGCGTGTGGAGGAACAGTGCTAGCAGGACGCAGCGTTGCTTCTGGGAGAGGAACCAGCACAGCCGGCCGACTGTCTAAACGGCCACCAACGGTCCCCTCCCCCATCCAGGCTCTTGGCCACGTGACTCGTTTTGGTCAACGGGACGTCAGCAGGTGACACGAGCGGAGGCCTAAAAGGCAGAGTTGCTGGGGGACCTGCCCCCGGGGCCAGCCCGCCTGACCACGAGAGACAGCGGCCCATCCGCGTCCCCCCGCGGACAGGCGAACGAGACCGCTCAGCCCCAGCCGACCACAGGGCCACACGAAATAATACACGTTTGCTCTTTTCAGGCACCAGGTTGTGGGCTGGTTTGTTCCACAGCAAAACCCGACCGAGACGGCGAGCGGCAAAGAGAAGGGGAAGTCAGGCAGAGAACCCGAGAACAAGCCCAGAGGCGAGCAAGCTGGAGCCCAGGGCCTCCCCCGAGTGCGGCCGGAGCAGACAGATGAGAGGACGTCGGCCAGAGGCAGAGGCTGCAGGACCCGGGGCTGCGACCAGGGGGTGGGTTCATTCTGAGAGCTGGGGCCACGGGAGAGGGGTAAGCAGAGGAGCGGACTGAGCGGTCTCAGCTCCTTTTGGACGAACGGATGATGGATGGACAGATGGATGACGAACAGATGGATGATGGATGGACAGATGGATGATGGATAGAGGGACAGAAGGATAGATGAATAGGGGCACAGGTGAATGAATGGACAGGTGGATGGGTGGACGGATGGACAGATGGATGGACAGATGGACAGACAAATGGACAGATGGATGATAAGTGGATGGATGATGAATGGAAGGACAGATGAATGGATGGACAGGTGGATGGATGGACGGATAGACAGATCCGCATGGACGACATGCCAAGCACACGTTAGACATGTGGGACCTCAAAGGGAATCAGCCGTGGCCCCTGCCCCCGGGAGTGGATTCTCCCACTGAGTGGACGGCTGTGGTGGGGCGCCGGCCACTCACCGGTACCTTCCGTGCAGCAGGGCGAGCATCTGTGGGGCGGGTGCCAGTGCTCCAGGGCCCCAGGGCAAGGGGGTCCAATCCCCGTACCCACCACAGGCTCACCCTAATTCATGCACGGCGCTCTCCAGCTGCACGGGAAGTCCTCCCTCGGGCCCAGCCCCCTGGATGAAGGGTAGGGCGCATGGGCCCTGATGTGGGGGAGGCCAGAGTTCACACGGGACGGGGCGTGACCAGGTGACACCACCCCGCAGGGCTGGGAACAGCGACCGCATCCTCGGAGCCCACGGGACCGGCAGGGAAGGCGGACAGGCGGCCGTGGTGGCCCAGCGCCGCAACGACACGGTGAGTCACTAACACGCCACACGCCAGCCCCGTTCTAAGCACACGCCACACTGCAGCGACAGTCATGACCTCTCGGGACACAGAGACCCGGGGGGGCCGGGGGCCCACTGGGAGTCCAGGCCCGAGGGCGGCAGAGGCAGGATCTGACCCGCCCGTGGGCCCCGGAGTCTCGACTCTGCACGACGACGGGACACGGTGGGGACTCTGGCCGACCGCATATCTCACAGCCAGAGGGCCCGACATTGCCAGAGCCCCCGATTGGATCTAAAGACCAGAAAACCCAGGGCTTCTGTGTGAAACCCCCAATGTGTAAACATTGGCCAGAAACTGAATTTTTATGTTTAAAGAGAAGGCATAAAAAAGTCAAAGGTCAAATCAGCCTTGGGCCTGCCAGTAAATGTGACCTCTGACCCAGAACCACAAACTCCCCAGACACCAGCCATCGTGGGGGAAACGTGGCCCCCAGAAGGGCCCGTCCACGTCCTGACCCCAGAACCCGGGGACGGGGCCTTTCTGGAAAGGGAATCTGCAGACGCGACCGAGGACTGAGCACGAGACCGTCCTGGGTTTAGGACGGCGCCTGACGGGCGGGGTCCTTACAGGAGAGAGCAGAGGAGGTCGGGGACAGACACGCAGAGCCTGGAGCGACGTGGCCGCGAGCTGAGGGCTGCGGGACCACCGGGGGCCGCAAGGGGCTGGAACCCGGAGCCTCAGGGGCAGCCAGCCCCACAACACCTCGGTTTGGGACTCCCGGCCTCCAGACGGTGAGAGGATGGCCTCCCGCGTTTAAGCCCCAGTTCGTGGTGCTCTGTTGCGGCCGCCACAGGAAATTCCCACGGACGGTCAGGAGACCTCGGATGGCTTCGCGTCTGACCCTCCCCTCCACAAATGTGGAAACCGAGGCAACCCAGAGCCTACCCTGGGACGCTGCAGGAAAGGAACAGTTTACAAGTGTGGAAACTGAGGCCCAGAGAGGGGAAGGGACTGAGCCAAGCTCACACAGCGAGACCTGGCAAGGACAGGACCAGCACCCAGCTCGCTGCACTCCCAGCGCGGGAGACGCTCCACCGTCCTGCCCAGCTTCGTAAGCTGTGCCACAGAGACCACACTACTATTTACTTAACATTTTTGTTTTCCGTAAACTCCATTTATAAACATAACTGAGTTTATTTTTTAAGGGAAACTGCAAGAAATGACTTAAATACCCATCAACCGATAACAGATCCACACAACATGGTCCATCTACACACGTGTCCACCCACACGCTGGAGCACGACGCAGCCACGAAGAGGAGCGAGGCCCTGACACAGCCACATGGATGGACCTGCACACACGACGCTCAGGGAGAGAAGCAGACACAGAAGGACACACGGCGTGTGACCCCATGGACGAGAAACGTCCAGAACAGGCAGATCCACAGACAGAGAGTGGGCTCGTGGGGGCCAGGGGCTGGGGAGGGGGTGATGCTGATGGGGACGGGGCTTCTTTTTGGGATGATGGAATGTTCTGGAATTAGATCATGGTGAGAGTTTCACAACCCTGTGAATGTACTAAAAACCTCTGAATTGTATACTTCGTGGTACTGAATTCTATGTTAATTTTTTAAAATGTTTATGAGGAAACTGATATTGCCACCATCCACCCCTGGTTTGATGCCTAATAGCATTTTCCTAACAACCATGAAAATAATCATAAAATCATCAAAATGGAAAGTGTGCATCAGGCAAGAATCGCCGATTTTTGCTGAGAGAAACGAGTGGAAGTTGGTTCGGAACCAGGATGTGCACAGGCCCAGAGTCGCCCTCCCAGGGGAGGGTCAAGAACGGACAAAACCAGACGCTGGTGACGGGCACTGGGACGGCGGGAGGAGCGGGCAGTGCCGCCGGGGGCGCCGGGCAGCGCGTCGGGTGTGGACGCAGCAGGCCCGCACTCGAGACTTCCCCACCCGCCTCACCTCTGTGATCCTTCCATTTCAAAGATCTGACCCAAAAACTGCGCCTGGCAGACACTCAGTGATAAAGGAAACGAAGGTCCCTGGGGACAAACGCACCTGAAGCATGTGTGAGCCCCGGGGGCCACGAAAAAGCAACACAAACGGGGGCTTCGAACAACGGGATTTATTCTCTCTCGGCTCTGCCTGCCCGACGTCCAGAATCTAAGTGTGGCCAGGCGGCTCCAGCCGAAAGCCCGGGACGAGGGTCCTTCCTCGTCTCTTCCAGCTTCTGGCGGCCGGCGATCCTCGGCCCGCACAACCTCACCCCCGTCTCTGCCTCCATCCTCACACGGCGTCGCCCGTGCGTCTGTGTCCACCTTCCCCGCATCTTCTAAGGACACCGGTCACTGCGTTGGGGCCACCCCGCTGCAGGCCGGCCTCACTTAACTTGATCACATCTGCAAAGACCCTATTTCCAAGTAAGGCCAGACGCCCAGGTTCCGACGGACATGAATTTGGGGGGACCCGACGACCAGGTGCCGGGGGAGGGGACGAGAGGTGGGGGGCTGTTGTAGAGGAAGCAGACACTTAACCAGAGGCAAACACACACACACTTGCAGGATCCCGGCCCCCAAAAGCCCACTGCGGACGTGGCCACACTGCCGCATGCTGGACGACATCTGGGGTCCCTGGCGGTTTTCTTGGACGTACGAGGAACCGTGGCTGCAGGAGGACCCCGTCCCGGAAGATATAATCCCGTTGGCTCACTTCCTAACGGTTCGTCGGAAACTCCCCGGGGACAGAGGGACGGAGCAGGGAGGCGGCGCGCCGGGACCAGGGCCCATTCCTCCAGCTTCTCTGTGGTTTGAAAGGTTCATCACAAAAAACCGGGACAACTGCAGACGCGTCTCTTTACGCCACATCCGAGGTCCCCGGACGGTCGCATCCCGAATCCTCGGGTCTGGCCCGGTTCCAGATGCCCCTCCCCGCCGCCCCCCCCCAGGTCGAGGTCTCTGCAGGGTCCGATTCTGTCGTCCGCGAAGGCGCTCTCAGCGCGGCCAGGGCAGCACGAGGCCCGCCGCGTCCTCACTCCCCGACTCCCGCCCAACCAGAGCGGGGCGACGCTCCACCTGCGCATGCGCGTCCCCCACCCACCTGCCGCGCTCTCCCCGCCCCTCCCCACGTGACGCCGTGGGAACCCCGACCCCTCCGCTGGGGGCGGCCAGCCGGAGCGGGTGGAGATGGGGGTCCGGGTGCGGGGAGAGGAGGAAGGATGGAGAGGAGAGCCCTGGCGCGCGGGTCCCCGGTGTCCGGTGTCCGAGAGAGAGAGGCGGGGGAGGGGAGCCCCAGTGCCCTGGCTGGGGGTCCGGGGAGGGTGTGGTCCCGGGGCCCGGCCGGCGCACTCACCCGCACGATGTAGGAGACCCCGGGGCCCAGGACCCTGGCGTCTGGGTGCAGCCAGCCGTGCGCCGGCTTGTGGATGAAGCTGCCTTTGCGGATCCACTCGTCGGCGGCGGCGTCTGGGGGCCCGGCCGCCGCCCGCGCGCCCCTCGGCCCGCGCGACCCCGGGGCCCGGCAGCGGCTGAGCGCAGGCAGCGGGCAGGGCGCGGCGCAGCGCGGCTCGCAGGCGCCCAGGACCGCGGCCGCCAGCGCCGGGACGCTCGCGGGGCCGGCCGGCTCGGGCTGGGGGTCGGCGGCCCCCGCGCCCCCCGCCGCCCGCGCCGCCGCCGGGCCGCGGCCCAGGAAGCCGGCGGGGGCCGCGAACTTCCACTGCGGCATGCGCGGCAGCAGCGCGCAGAAGGTGGTGGGCGCCTCGGGCTCGGGGGCCGCGGGGGGCTCGGGGGGCGCGCGCCCGCCCGGACCCTGCGTCATGGCCGCGGCCGCCCGACCGAGCCCGCCCGGGCGCTGCGCCTGGCGCGGAGGAGGCCCTCCCGCTCCTTCCCGCCGCCTCCCCGCCCCCGGCCCGGTGATGTCATCCGCCTGGCCCAGCGCGCAGCCGCGGGGGGCTGCGCCCCTGGGACCCCGGCCCTCGGCGTCCTGGCGCCTGGCGGGGCGGCCGGGGAAACTGAGGCCCGCCGAGGGCACGCGCGCTGACTCGAATCCGGCAGCCAGGGAGGGAGCGATGTTTCCAACCCAGATCGTGGGCGGGGACCCCCCTATTCGGCCCCCAGCCGTCGCCCAAGTTCCTAGAAGAACAGGGGTAGGAGAGACTCAGAAATCAGCTCCCTTCTTCCCTTTTTGATTGATGGGGAAACCGAGGCCTAGACGTGGGCGAAGACGTGGTCTGGGAAGGAGAGATGCCTAGACCCTAAGGTCAACCCCCTCCCTACCCGCAGTTCCAGCCCGCTGTACTTGAAACCACGCCCTGCTTTAATTCCTTATGGGGAAACTGAGACTCAGAGATGGGGAGGGGCGTGCCCGAGAGCACACAGCGGAGATGCGGACCCAGGAGTGCCAGGCTGAGCTGCCTGGGAGCGGGGACTCAGGGCGAAGCCGAGTCCCTCCTCTGCTGCCTTGCCTTGGGCCTCAGTTTCCCAGGCTGGAAGCCAGGGGCGCGGGCTCCTCCGTTTCTGGGGAGCCCTATTGGGCATCAACCCGGCTGAGCTCTTGGGCCTCAGGCTCCCAGGCCCGCGGCCCCTCCGTCCTCCACCCAGGGGGGACTATTCCTTCTGCACCGGGGACGGGATGCGCGGTGGGCCCGGGACCCGGGCTCCGGCTGCGGGCTCAGCCACCCCTCCCCCTCCCGCGCCGCCCCGGCTGGAACCGCTGCCGGGAAACAAAGGAGGGGCCGGGGCGCGCGGGCAGGTGGGGAAGGCGGGGCGAGGCCGCCCGGAGTCGGATCGATAAATCAGAGAAATGAGATCACCGCCCGGAGGAGGAGGAGGCGGGGGTGGAGGAGGAGGCCGGGTCGGGGCTGCTGCCCGCGGCCGGAGCGTCGCGCTGCGTCGCCGTTGCGCTCTGCGGCCCCGGGCGAGCGGGTGTCGAGGGCGCGGCCGTGGGTCAGCGTGGGGGTGGCGTTTGTGCGGCCCGGAGCCCCCATCGGCACTGGTGTGTGCGTGTGCCAGTGTGGTCCACGCGCATGCGGACTGCGTGAGGGTTGGGTTGTATGTATGGTGCGCGCAGACGTGAACGTGTGTGTGTTTGGGGAGGGGCCAGGTTCCCGCCCAGGTGTGTGTGTGTCGGGGTCCCGGCGTGTGTCCAGCTGCATATGTCAGGGTCCCGGTGTGTGTCCACCCAGTCCGCTGAAGGGGTGTGTGTTCAGCTTTGGCTGCTCAGGCTGGGGAGGGGACAGAGGAGGGAGAGGGTTGCCCCCCCCCCCCCCAGGCTGGCCGGGATGCAGATCCTCACATCAGACCGACACAGGGCTCGGGGCTGCGCTCAAACAAGTGTCCAGTCTCTCCGAGCCCGGTTTTCTCTCAGTAAACGTCACCTGCCTCCTGAATTGCTATGAAGCTTAGATGATCTTATCAATACCTAGAACACGGTATGCACCTCTTAATGGCAGAGATTAGAATACATCCAACTCCTATACATCCTTCAAAACCCAGCTTCAGTGTCCCCTCTTCCAAGAAACCTATCTGGCTCCCCCCACTCAAAGCCCTGGCCCCACCTCTGGCCTCCTGCAGCTCTGGATCCCTCCTCTGGGCCCCTCCAGACCCCCAGGGGCTGCAGACTTGGGGGTCTGGATCCTGAGAGCAGAGTTCAGTTCTCCCTGTGATGCGAACCGAAAGTGGGTTAAATGAACACGCGTGTGAGATGCCGACAGCTTTCGGTGCCACACAGAGATTTATTGGCGAGCGGTTAGTGGGTGGGTGGAGGGGAGGGGCATCAGGGCAGCTTCCAGCCTGGCGTCGGGCTGGGACCCCAGCGGGCTGCCGGCTCCATGAGAAGCAGGGACGAGCCCAAGTTTGGCAGAAACCCGAGCTGTGTGGCTCACCCAGGCCCTGGCGGGACGGACACCGAGTTCTAGGACACAGGAAGCTCCATCTCCGGCCGGTCGCCTGGCCGCGGGGAGGGCCAGGGGTGTCCCTTTCTCCACGTGGCCTGGCTTGACCTGGCGTGACCAGGACGGAAGAAACTGGGGCGCCAGGAGAGGCTCCCAGAGTGTGGGGCCGCGGGGCCACAGGTCACAGCCCCCGGGGACTGGCGGGAGCAGGTGGCCTAGAAGGACCTCAGACAACTCAGAAAAGAAGGGAGGAGGCCCCCCCACCCCAGGCAAGGCCAGGCCCAGGAGGGACCGCCCACACCCCACTTCACAGCCTGGGGAGACTGGGCTCACACCCAAGGTCAGGGTGTCAGGGCGTGGTGTCCGCGGCCATGGTGGCGGCTGGTCTGGAGTGGCGGATGCCCATGGTGAACGCCGGGGCCCTGGCTTTGGTCACGGTGACCTGCTCGGGGCTGTGGGTACCAGGGCCCGGCGTCTCATCCCGGGGGCGCGGGGCCCGGGGCCGCCCCAGCATGGTGAAGGCCGGCCGGCGCTGGCGGTAGGCGTTGGGGTCCGGGCTGTCATACTGTCCCGGGCCTGGGATCTCCGCGGGGTCCTGCGGCGGGCGGGCGGGGGGCGTGCGGCCCACCACCGAGTAGCTGGGGCTGCTGGGCTTGGTGAAGATCTGGGAGCCCCAGAGGGAGGGCAGCGTGTAGGTGTTGGGGGCTGGGGCTGAGGTGTCCGGGGGCTGCGGGCGGAGACGGGAGCCCAGTGTGAAAGCCGGGGGTGTCCGCTGGCGAACAGGGGCCACCTTCTCTGGGCTGTAGGCCCCGGGGCCCGGCGTCACCTCCAGAGCTGTGAGGAGGGGGCAGGAGGGTTGCAATGCACAGTCCCCACCTGCCCTCGGCCCACCGGCCTCCCGGAGCTCAGAGCACTTCCCAAGCAGCCCCTTCCCCGACCTCCCGACACTGTGTGTTGCCCTCCAAGCACCCAGGCCTTGGCCCAGGCTCAGCCCTCCCCTCAGCCTTCCAATTCCCATCCCCGCCTCCCACCGCATTCTTCAAGGCAGCCCCGCAGCCCACTCCCTCCTGCCCCCCACACCCTCCTTCTAGGCAGAGCTCTCACGGCCCCGTCTAGGATCCCCTGGCCTAGGTCTTGCCCTCTGTCCAGACATGGCCACATTGCGGTGGGATGGTCCCCACGTGGGTCTAACTCCACCACCAGACTGGGGTCTCATGAGAAGCAAAGACGAGTCAAATCTATTTCAACTCCCCAGCACTTGGCCTCACGCATGTTTGAGTGGATGGTTGAGTAGAAGGATGGGTGGTGAGTGGTTCATTGAGAAGTGAATGAGTAGATGAATGGATCCATGGATGTGTAGGTGGATTGTGGATGGATGGATGGATGGATGGATGGATCATGGATGGATGGATGGATCATGGATGGATGGATGGATCATGGATGGATCATGGATGGATGGATGGATCATGGATGGATCATGGATGGATCATGGATGGATGGATGGATCATGGATGGATGGATGAATGGAAGGATGGACGGATGGATGGATGGATGGATTGGATGATGAACAGGTGGACGGGTGGGTAGGTTGGTGAGTAGATAGATGGGTGGATGGATGGAGGGGTGAAGTGATGGATCGGTGGGTGGACGAGCCCATGGGTGACAGGTCGAAATGAAAGGGTGGGTGGATGGGAGCCTGGAATCGGGTAATTAAGTCAGGTGCTCTGGTTGAAAGTGAGCTGTTTGGAGCCTGTGAAGGGGACTGTCACATTCGCACAGTCCCCTCTGCACCCTGCTGGGTCCTGATGCTGAGGACGAGCCCTGGCTGCTCTCGTGGCCCCACGTGTGCACACAGTCACCGTCTCCCTGGCCCACTTCACTCATGCAGGTTCTCTCAGGCTCCCAGCCCCTCTTCTGAGTCCCGTGGATTTCGTCATTCCAAAGACCCTGAAGTTGTAAGAACTCAGGGACAGGAGGGGAAGGAGAAGACAGAGGTGGGAGAGTCACAGAGACCCCGAAAGGGCAGGGTCCTCGTGGGACAGCCCAGATCAGCCACTCACCCCGATATTTACCCCGGCCCTGCATGGAGTAGGCAGGGGTGCAGCTTCGGCCGAAGCGGGTGACGTTCGGGTCCAGGAAGTAGATTGGCCCAGGGCTGGCATCCTGCGGACATGCTGGGGAGAGGAGGCCAGGGTTCTGAGGGCGCCTCTGACGGCCCCACGCTGCTCAGTGCCCCTGATAGTCCTGGGGCCCCGCCGCCCTCCAGTCGCCCCCAGCAGGGACCTCGGACCCTGGAGGTGGGGTTGCCCTGACCCAGAGCCCCAGGTCTCTGCTTGGACCGTGCCCTTGTGACCAACGCTGTCCCACCCCCAGCCTCTCCTCGCCGTGGGCTAGGACCCAGCGGGTGGATTGGTCAGAGCTGCACAAAGTAAGATGGAGCAGGGTCTGGATGGGGTCCTCTCTTTCAGTCCCCAGCTCGGTGGCATGTGACATGCTTGGGGAGGGGCTCGGGGTGGCCTCTGTGAGCCATGTCCTTGGGCACCTATCCAACTACTCACGATGCCATCGCCACTACTGTTAAGCACACACATCTGTGTATAGCAAGTTTGACGAGGATTAATTGGTGTATGTACTAAGTGCGTGTCCACACACGTGACACCGTGCACGCTTGTGTGTGACAAATGAGTGAAGCCCCGCTCAGGCCATTTCCCACCTCAGGACCTTTGCCTATGCTGCAACCTCTGTTGGAGTCCCCTTCTTCTCCTGGGGGCCCCACCGAACTCCTACTCATCCAACAAAGCCCAGATGCCATGCCCCCACCTCCAAGAAGACTTCCCTGGACATTCAGCAGAGTCTATGCTGACCTCCACCCCGACCCCCCAGCCCCAGTGTCCTGGGACAGGACCGGAACTGGGGGGCTGGGTGGCTGTGGGTCATGGGCTAAGTTCTTAACCCCTCCCAGGGACAGATGCGAGGCTGAGCCCTCATTCGCTTTCTGGGGCCCCTTGCGGCTTCCTTTGGGACTGAAGGCTGAGAGGGGGCTGCCGGCACAGCCACCGCTCCCAACAAGGCTCCATCGGCATGAATCAAACGCGCCACGCGCGACCCTCGCAGCCCCCGCCCCGGCCCCCGCGGGACCTCGGAGCAGCTCCAGAAGTCGGGAGATGGAGCTTGTGGGCACCGATGTGCGGAGCACAGGCCTGCTGGGACGTGGCGGGGCCACCGCGCTGGCCACATCCCTGCATCCCACGCCTGCTCGCGCCCTGCCGCACCCACGTCGGGCCAGAGGAAAGCGGACGTCACGGGGGCGAGGTCACCCACCGACCAGGAGGCACCGTGGCCTGCTGACCCACCAGCCCTGCCCGTCCAAACCACAGAGAATCCTCCTTGCACCCTCGCCACAAGCCTGTGAGACAGGCAGGGCCTGCGAGCCCCGTTCTTGTGGTCGGGGAAACTGAGGCTGGCCCTCGAAGCCCACGTGTATTGGGCGCTGACTGGATGCCAGGCCCAGTGGAGCTGCTTCGAGGCATTTAGTCCTCATTAACGAACGTGTCCAGGCATCTAAGGTTTGTGTGATCCTGACGACAGCTCTGTAAGGAGAGCGTTGTCGCTGTCTACGGAGGAGGAAACTGAGGCACAAAGGAGTTAGGACTCTGCAAAGCCCAGAAGGCAACACAGTCCTGACCGCCACACACTCCTCCTTCCATTCTCTCCATCAACAAGGAAACAAAGGCCCAGAGAGGCACAGCATCTTCTCCCGGGTCACACAGCAAGCTGGGGTTCGGGCAGCCCTCCTAGCTTCCTGCCTCACTCAGGGGGCCTGGAGCTAACGGAGCTGGGGAACGCTCCCTGGGGGGAACCTGGAGGCCCAGGAGGCCCGGCTCCAGCCCCTGCATCCCCTACCCCCAGCATCCCCCACCTCCCCGCCTTACCCTCGCTGGGCCTCCGGAAGAGCGAGTAGGCGGGACCCGTCACCTTGGTGCAGTCGTGGTTGGTGTAGCCAACGGTGGATGGCAGGATGTACAAGCCCGGCCCAGAGCCTGCGACCAGAGCCCCCAGTCACAGCCCAGAGACGGGGGGGCTGGGGCCCAGCCCCTGAGCCTTCCCCGGGCTCCCACCACAGTCCAGGGTGTCAGGGGAGCTGCCTCCCTGCCGGGGGCAAAGGGCGGGACACAGGCATTGTGAGTCACAGGGGAGCGGGGCTGCGGGCCAGAACCAGACACTGTCACAGGAGGGAAACTGAGGCCAGGCACAGACACTGTCACAGGAGGGAAACTGAGGCCAGACACAGACACAGTCACAGGAGGGAAACTGAGGCCAGACACAGACACTGTCAAGGGAGGGAAACTGAGGCCAGGCACAGACACTGTCACAGGAGGGAAACTGAGGCCAGACACAGACACTGTCAAGGGAGGGAAACTGAAGCCAGACACAGACACTGTCACAGGAGGGAAACTGAGGCCAGACACAGACACTATCACAGGAGGGAAACTGAGGCCAGACCCAGACACTGTCACAGGAGGGAAACTGAGGCCAGACACAGACACTGTCAAGGGAGGGAAACTGAGGCCAGACACAGACACTGTCAAGGGAGGGAAACTGAAGCCAGACACAGACACTGTCACAGGAGGGAAACTGAGGCCAGACACAGACACTGTCACAGGAGGGAAACTGAGGCCAGGCACAGACACTATCACAGGAGGGAAACTGAGGCCAGACACAGACACTGTCAAGGGAGGGAAACTGAAGCCAGACACAGACACTGTCAAGGAGGGGAAACTGAGGCCAGGCACAGACACTGTCAAGGAGGGGAAACTGAGGCCAGACCCAGACACTATCACAGGAGGGAAACAGGCTGGTGAAGGGCAGGGACTCCTCAGAGGCTCCCGTCTCGGCTGGGCTCCCGGGACTTTCCAGAAGCCCTACGGGGTGAGGGGTGGGGGTGGAGCAGGAAAGGGTCTCACGGCCACGGCCCCCTCCCCACGCCCACGCATACCCTTCTCCACGGTGGCTGCCCCGCAGGTCTTCCGCAGGCCGGTCTCTGGAATCTGGCACTCGGTGGCCTGCCGGCCCAGGGGTGCTGTGGTCAGCCGCGGGGCGGGGTCGCAGCCCAGGGTCCCCATGGCAGCAGGTGAGGGGCTGCAGGGAGCACGGGGCTCGGCAGTGCCCGCCCTGGCGTCTCCCTCAGCGGCAGCAGCTCTGGGCTGCGGGTGTCGGCACTGTCCCTGATCCTCACGGCTTCTGCGGACGCTGGCAGGGCCCCGGCCTCACCACACCCTCCGGGGACGCACAGACAGCCCCTTGTCCCTCGGCGGGGAGTCTTGGGGCCCTGGCCCCAGCCGGCTGGTCGGGCGGACGCTGGCCTGGAAGTGGGGCCGGGATCGAGTGTCGGCCGGGCGGCTGGACAGTCCAGGAAAGAATCCGGTGTCAGCAGAGCGAGTCCCCGGGGAGCTGACCGAGCTGGGCAGCCAGGGCCAGAGCAGGGCCCAGGGAGCCAGAGCCGTGAACTTGACACCCTCGGCCTTGTAGCTGGAGGGACTGGTGAGGTCATGGGGGGGCGTGGTTCCATTTCTACAGTTTGGGAAACTGAGGCATGGCCCAAGGTCATACAGCAAGTTCGCCACTCTGGGAGTCGCAATGATGGGCCCAGAAGCCTGCCTGCCTGCTTTCATTCTTCCAGTCAGCACTTATTGAGCACTTACTGCATACCAGGTTCTGTCTGGGTTGGTGGCGACAGCACAAGAACAGACGGACAGGAGCTGATGTTCTCAGAGGAGAGAGAGAAAAGAAACAATAAATTAGTAAATGAACACATGGGGTATTAGAAGGCATTGAATGTTCTGGAAAACACAGAGCAGTTGGGAGGGTGGGTGCAAGCCGAGGATTAGGGCAGGGTGAGAGGTCATGGCATTGAGAAGGTGAGAGAAGAGCATTGCAGGATAGGGGAATGACCATGCAAAGGCCCTGGGGTGGGAGGTGATATTGGTCCTCCAGGGCAGCCTGCTGACTCCCAGAAGTCGGTAGGATTTTCTCCAGCCCATTGCAGGGTTTACTTTCCTGCCTGCACTGAGGCTTCAACTGTGTCAGGCTCCGAGCAGGGGCTCAGGAACGCTTGGCTGGACAGGACTCAGATTCCTGTCCCTCCATGGTGTCCTCGTCAGTTGCGGGATCAAGGGCCCTCCTGCGCTGCCTTTTTTTTTTTTTTTTTTTTTTTAGGAAGATTAACCCTGAGCTCACATCCGTGCCCATCTTCCTCTACTTTATATGTGGGACGCCTCCCACAGCACGGCTTGACGAGCGGTGCGTAGGTTCACACCCGGGATCCAAACCGGCGAACAAACCCAGGGCTGCTGAAGTGGAACGAGCGAACTTAACCGCTGCGCCACCGGGCCGGGCCCCCCGCACCGCCTTTTTTTAACAGCGTGATTGAGTTACAATTCACACACCACACAGATCACTCCGCCATGGAACGTTAACACAGTCCACCATTTTTAAAATATTTTCATCAAAATGTCATAATCTACATAAAAGATCATAAATCGAGGCTTAAACGCTAATATTAGAAAAGAGGAAAGATCTCAAAATCAATGACTGATGGGTCTACCTTAAGAAGCTAGAAAAAGAGCAAGAGAAGGAAAGAGATGAAATGCGTAACAGCGGGAACGCACGAGAGAGAAAACCGCAGAAGAGCTAACAGAGCTCCAGAAGCTGGTTCTTTAAAAGCTGATTTGTTAAACCTCCAGCTGGACGGATCAAGAAAACACAAGGATGGGAGGGATTTGTGAGGAAGATCACAAGCCCGATGCCAGGAAGGGAAGGGGGACATTACTACAGATCCACACACGTTACGGGGACAACGCGGGGCATGTGGAGCCGCAGAGAGAAAGGTCCCGACTCTGGGACAAAGGAGATCTTCTGCCCAGCATTTCCGGTGTCACCTGCCGCGTTCTGCACCTTGGGGACCTTCTTCACAGGCGTCATCTGGTTCAGCGGTCTCAGCATCTCACTGAGGAGGTGCTGCCGCTGACCCTCATCTGTGGCTGCAGATGGGGAAACTGGGGCACGGAAAGGGGGAGTGACGGGTGCAGGTCCCTCAGGAACTCATCGGCAGAGCCAGGACTCGAACACAGCACTCTGACTCTGATTTCAGATCAAAGCTCGGGGTCAAGACTTCTCGGTTCTGGGGCCGGCCCAGTGGCCCAGTGGTTAAGTGGCCCAGCCTGGGGTTCGTCAGTTCGGATCCCGGGTGAAGACATGGCGCCACTTGTCAAGCCATGCTGTGGTAGGCGTCCCACATATAAAGTAGAGAAAGATGGGCATGGATGTCAGCTCAGGGCCAGTCTTCCTCAGCAAAAAGAGGAGGATTGGTAGCAGTTAGCTCAGGGCTAATCTTCATCAGAAAAAAAAAAAAGACTTCTCCGTTCTAATCCCAGCTCAGCTTCCTGGGAGTGCTGAGAATCCTCTGTGGACTTCCTCGATGCTCTGGATAGACCCACGTCCTCGCCGTCACACAGGGCCCCACACAGTCCCATCCCCACTCCCCCTCCTCTCGCCTCCCACCCCTCAGTACTTGGTCTCTCCACCCTTGCTATTCCTTGAAGCTGCTAAGCCTTCACCTCAGAGCCCACACCTGCCCTCCCTCCTCCTGCCCTCCCTCCATCTGCCCTCCCTCCGCCTGCCCTCCCTCCTCCTGCCCTCCCTCCTCCTGCCCTCCCTCCTCCTGCCCTCCCTCCGCCTGGCCTGTCTCCGCCTGGGATGCCTCCACTCAACCTCCCTCCACCTAGGATGCCTTGACCAACAAGTCAGCCCACAGCTGGCTCCATCCTCAGTGACCTGTGGGCCCCTTGACATTGGACGAGCCACCTTCTTCTTTCCAGAAGCAGCACAAACTCCAGAACCATGGACAGAACTGGGCACTGAGGAGGGAGGCGGGAGATGAACACCCAAGCTCTCTCTCCTCCTGCTCATCAGTGCCTCCCCCTGAAGTGCAGGAGCCCGGGGACAGTACCACTGAGGTCGGCCTCGAGGACCCAGGGCCAGGCAAAGAAAGGGCAAAAGTCCCATCTGGAGGCTGTTCCCCAAACCCATCACACCCCATGCCTCAGCCCCCCGCCCAGGCCACATCAGCCAGCCACGCAGTGCAGACATCCGGACGCACTGGTTCCCGCACGGACTCAACCCCAACTGACTTAGTTTCCCCTCTGTTATGGCTATGACCCTGTGCCTCCTTCCCAGGGATGGGACCCTCCATCCAGGGTCGAGCTGGGACCCAAGCCCAACTGCCTCAGTTTCCCCTCTGTGAGATGAGCTACCACCCCCTGCCTCACTCCCAAGGACAAGACCTTACATTCAGGCGCCATCCAGGACTTGGCCCCAACTGTCTCCATTTCCCCATCATGACGTGGGAAGGAGCCAAGAGCTGACACAGGGGTGGGGACAGACTGAAATGGTCGCCCAAGCCTGTGAAAGGCGGCCTTGGGGACCTGTGGGCCCAGCGACCTCACCAGACTGAGCTCAGGCCCCCTCCAGCTGGCCAGGCCCCGCTTTGATGCCACCAGCTTCTCTGTGGACACTTCACCACCGCCAAGTAAACAGCATGGAAATGAACACTAATTAACTTGAAGCACGTGCAAATGAGCCACGTTTTTACTCCAATCTGATTCATTGACAGAAGAGGGCAGATCAGAAAAACAGGAAAAGGAGGCTGGACCTGGGGTGAAGGTGCGCCCCGCCCAGCAATCGACCACCAGCTGCTGGGCCTCCTCAGTTACGGCCCTTATCACATTTATTAATTCAACGTGTGCATCTGGGCGCCAGGCATGAACAAAACACACGAACTCCCGGCCTCACCTTTTTTGGAGAGAGGCAGACAAATGAGTCTTAGGTTACCCTAGAAGCTGGCAGGGCGTGGGGGAAAATCAGGGCCAGGAGGCCTTGGAGGCGTGGGGAGTGTGCAGTTTGAAATGGGGACGTCAGGGGGCCTCACTAGGAAGGTGACGTTGGAGCAGAGGCCTGGAGGTGAGGAGGGAGCCGAGGGGATCCGGGGAAAGGGCCCGGGCGGAGGGACGTGCCTGGTGGAGGGACAGCGGGGCGGCCCGTGCGGCTGCACCGGAGGAGTGAGGGGGCGACGGAGGCGGCGCGGCGGGCGGGGGCGCGGGCTCCCGAGGGAGGGACGTGGGGGCCGCGCGGCTGCGGGCGGAGCGGGGACGGCGACTCGGGCTCGCCGCGCCCTTTGGCGGCTGCGGGGCGAAAGCGAGGCGGCGCCGGGAGACGGGGAGGGGACGGCGGGGGTCCGGGAGGATGCGGGAGGATGCGGGGATGGGGGGGGGATGATGGGGAGGATGCGGGGATGGGAGGAAGGACGGGGGAGAGGGGAGGATGCGGGATGGGGGTGGATGATGGGAGGATGCGGGATGGAGGAAGGACGGGGAGAGGGGAGGATGCAGGGATGGAGGAGGACGGGGAGGGGGGAGGATGCGGGATGGGGAGGGACCGCGCTGGTCCAGGAGGGATGTGGGCAGGATGCGGGGATGGGGGAGGGATGATGGGAGGATGCGGGGATGGGAGGAAGGACGGGGGGAGGGGCGGAGGATGCGGGGATGGGGGAGGGGATGGCGCTGGTCCAGGAGGATGAGGGGAGGATGCGGGGACGGGGGAGGGATGGGGGGAGGATGGGGGGACGGAAGGAGGGACCGCGCTGGTCCAGGAGGGACTCGGGGAGGATGTGGGGATGGGGGAGGGATGGGGGGATGTAGGTGCGCACACAGGCAGGATGGGGGGATGGGGGAGGGAGCGGGGTGGAGGGGCGGAGGATGCGGGGATGGGAGGAGGGATGATGGGGTGGGGAGTGACGGTGAGACCAGCCCGACGCTGGTGGAGGAGGGGCCAAGAAGCGGGTGGGTTCTGTGTCTACTTTAAAACTAGGACCAACAGGATCTGATGTGGGGCTGGGGGAACCAGAGGTGTTGAGGCGCCTCCAGGCTTCAGGCCTGAGAACGTGTGTGGGGAGGGCAGCAATGTGGGAGGGGTGTTTTAGAAGATCAAGAGTTCAGTTTCGGAATTGTGGGTTTGGGTCTCTCCGGGAGATGCCCCCGGACACCTGATGGTCAGCCAGCCATCCAGGTCTTGGTTGTTTGTTGTCTGTCTACACCCAATAATAAGTTCCCCCAAACACAGCAGCTTAAAACAGCACACACACTTATTCCGTGCCAGTTTCTGAGCGGCAGAAACTCTGCTCAGGCCGCACTGACCCTGTCGGCCAGGGCCAGGGCTGGGGCTCGTCCGCTGGCTGGACTGGGGCAGGGTCGGCTCCAGGCTCCCTTGGGTTGTGGAACTGACTTCCTTGTTGTTCTAGGACGGGCCCCTCCTTCCCGCTGGCTGCTGGCTGGAAGCCCCTCTCAGCTTCTAGCCACGTGGCCCCCTAACATGGCTACTTCATTCTCCAAAGTCAGCAAAGGAGAAGGTCGGGGCCACAGGCAGGGCTGGAGCTGGCGCTGCGTTTACGTCGTCGTGTGAGCAGGGCCCCCGCCAAGCACCCCGGCACTTCCCTCTCAGCTCCCCTGTCTCTGCCTGGATCCACTGGCTCCTTCTTCAGTCGCTGAGAAAATGCCACTGCCCCAAAACTCCCCATCTTCCTCTTTCCGTGTAACCCCCTTTCTGCGACCGAATGATCTTTTGAAATCAGAAGTCACCCCAAACCTGTGTCCTGCCTACAAAACCCTCCCTGGGCTCCCACGTGCCGTGA